GGTCATGCCCATCCTACAATGTGTAGTTTTCTTGTTCCAATATCATTACTTTTTTTGTATTCTACATTGTGCCTTTCTTTGATAAGTAAATAATTTTTTAATTATTTTCATTAAACAATTCATGAAAATGCAATAAATTTTATATTTTCACACTTTCATCTCTCTCCTATTTTTATATTTTTCTTCATTATTAATGTTCCAAAAGAAACTAGGTGCTACTCAGGCGTGATTGGCCATCTCACGCCTAGGCACCGACTAAGGTGCCCAACGTTCCTCTTCATTTTTTATTTAATTTTTATTTCTTATTAGTTTTAGGCTAAAGGGTCAAATAGGCCCTTGTACCTTTTCGGATTGTTCAATTTGCCCCCCGAATTCAAAAAAGCTTCAATTGGCACCCTGAACTTCATAAAAAGATTCAAATTTTACTTTTTGCAGGTCACAAGCCGGTCACCGCCTCATCACCCGGTAGAGTGCCAACTGTGCATGTGACATGACAACTTAGGGGGTCAAATAAGCCCCTGAACCCGACTGAAATGTTCAATTTACCCCCTCAACCCTTAATTTTTTTTTTTGACATTTTTTAGGGTTGAGGGGGTAAATTGAACGATTCGATCGGGTTCAGGGGCTTATTTGACCCCCTAAGTTTCCATGTCACATGCACAGTTGGCACCCTACCGAGTGACGTGGCGGTGAACGGATTGAAACCTGCAAAAAGTGAAATTTGAATATTTTTATCGAGTTCAGGGTGCCAATTGGAGTTTTTTTGGGTTGAGGGGGTAAATTGAGCAATCCGAAAGGGTATAAGGACCTATTTGACCCTTTAGCCTTAGTTTTATAATTAAAGAAGTTACCCTAAATAGGAATAAAGATGTCTGTAAATTTTATAATAGAATTGTCACATTTTTATTCCATAAATAAGATTAATTACTACTATGTTTTGACATTACTAGAGTTTAAACATAACAATTTTTTCAAACTTGGTAGAAATTATTTGTATATAAGAAATAAAAATATGACAATCTTATTTTAGAATTTCAAATCATTTTTATTTTTATTTCGGGGATTTTTCTTTAATATTAATAATGACACAAATATTACTAAAATAAAGATGAGGGACAAAAATGTGACATCCTATTTGTAATGAATGCATTCAATTTTACACTATATTGATAATGATGTTCCTCATCATTATTACCTCAATGGCGAAGTCTTACATAGAGACTATTTTCGGATGATCCATATTGAAAATCACGTCGAAAATTGCATGTACCAACTGTTGCTTCATACAAAGAATCAAAGACAGTTTAGTGAGCCATTTTACTTTATTCATCATATTTCAGGCCAAAAAATAATGAACTTTTAGCTCTATTACAAATGATGGAAAATATATTAATAATGGTGCTACACTAATAATAACTTTAGTCACATTAATGTCCCTCGGTTTAGTTTGAGAACTTTTATTACGTGAGTATTAAAAAACGAAAGTGAAATGATTTTTAGGACTAAACAGAAAAAGTTAGACCAAGAACCAATTTAATTAGAACTGCTTAAGCGCTTCACCGACTGATGGATTACAGGGATCCAAGCATATATAATTAGCAGAGATTCAACTCAAGAATATGAAGAAGAAGATGAATGTGTAATATGTATGAGTATAGAATTGATTCTAGGAATTAGGAACTAGGGTTACAAGTCTCCCAAAGGGGTATAAATAGACAAATAATGGGTTGGGCCGCTAATATGGACCCGATAAGCTCAATTATATAAAAGACTAATCTAGTACATACAAATGAGACATGAACTGTGACACCGCACCCGGATGTATTTGATTTGAAAATTCAACATGTATTTGAATTTCCTATCGAATAAAAATCGTGCACAGAATAGTTTATTTAATTAATGTGTGATTAATTAAATTATTTATCGGGCCCATAATATTGAGAATGAGCTACTAAATATTTAGTTGGGTCATCGTAATAGTTATAGAAGCCCAATAAAATGACAACCGAAGTTGAGGAAAATGTTTGGGCAACCCATGTTTGCCCAACAAAATATTTTGACCCAACCTGCCAGAAATAGAAGGAATAATTGGGACGGACTTCCTACACCCACTTGGGGTGTTCTACCATTCAAAAACTACCAAAATAATGGGATGAGACAAGAAAATAAGGGGAGGGGCGTGCTAGGCTGGGGAGGGTGTCTCATTGAGACAAAACCCCATACCCCATGTTTTGTCTTGGACCATGAAAGCCGCCCGGCTTTGGCTGTTGTCCAGTTTTTTCGTTTCAATCGGCCTAGAACGGGAGATTGATCGAAGGGCTTCGCAAAGGCATCTAGTTAAGCACTCCATAAGGTGAGGATGACTGACTATATTGCTTATAATTAGTGAGTTAATTTTATGAGATTACCTAAGGTAATCAAATGTATTTTTATGGATTATTAATGATTAATAATGCCTAAGAATGATAAGACTATGTCTATAATGAAAAGAGCATGATATACAAATTAAGGGTAAATTGTGTATAATCATGTATTATGAGTATGATTACTTGATTTTGGAATTTAACTATGAAATGTATGTTGAGATATACTTTTTACTTCATATAAGAATATATGAATAAATAAAGGTGATATTTGGTATATGGATATAAAGATGATATTTTTAATGGAAAATCAGTTGGGCATTTTATAAATGACCATGAATGAAGAACTTGGTTTTGTTGGAATTAATTGGACTAGTATAAATATACTAGTTAGGCATTAAAGTGGAATGTTGCTAAAATTGATCCAAATGTTGGATTGTGAAACGTTATGCCTTAAGTAGTCTTAAGAGATGCTTTAAGGTAGGGAGGTATGAACCTTAAGTTATACTAGGGGTAGGCCTTAAGGAATACCCAAGATAAAGTAGATAATAAATTGATCCTAGATATAGGATTGGCCTTCGGGCGTGCTCGGTGGTCTTTGAGGATAGCCGGTTGAATTATGGGAATAAGTAAGGACCATGGCTCTTCCCGACTCTAGAGAGCGGGGTTGGATAGCATGGACTTGCATCGTGATCACGGGTTAGGGTGGAATCCGAACGGAGACCTAATTAGGCTCCAACAACGGTAACACCTAAGATAGGACCCCGAATGGCCTTACCTTCCCATGGGATGAAGAGTATGAGTCTAGGGGCGGGATGTTGAAGTCCGAACCGAGAGCCTTATGAGGTCTCGGACAGCGGTAGCAAATCCCATAGAAATAATTAGACCCACGGGTTGGGTTGTACAAATGATAAATGAAAAGGAATACATAAGAAGGATCGTGTGCCGACAAATAAATGAATTTACTTATTATAGAGATAATAAGCGAGAAATATAAATTGTTATTTATATTATGATATCACCCTAATTTGAGGGTCTTAGAAATTAAAACGTTGATTATACTCGGTATAGTTGTCATTGTACTTGTCAAATGCTTCCAAGTACTGACCTCCCCTTCATGAGGGAGGCCACCTCACAGTATCAGGTAGGAGTTGAGCTTGCTACCTGTGCGCGTTGCTTCGGGAGAACCAAGGAATGAAAGCGTGGTTCGTGCTTCCCCCGTTTCTGTTTTAAAAACATTTAAACAAATGCTCATGGATATTATTTTTTCTGAATAATTATTTGGGGGCTTGCATGCCTAATTATGTCAAATGTGGCTTGAACACTTGTAATAATGTTTCCGCTGCTTTAAACGAATGTTTTACATTATGTTTGTTTATGGATGTACTATGTGTGAATGGTATTAAAAGACGTCTTGTATAGTATGAATGAGTTGGACTGCGGTTGACTATTTGTACTGTACGGCGGGTTGTTGACGTGTTCGGATAGGTCCGGGGCGTGACATGAACTCTACAATAATACAAATGATATAAATGACATCTGACGGTCGTGTGTGGGCCGCTGCCCAGGCCCAATAATGGTGAGACCCGGGGGTCCGAGTCTATATACTCTATCACCGACTTTTCTTACTAATTATAGAGAAATAGGGGCGGGCACCCGGCCATCACCTAGTGCGCAGGCACAAAATATATCATGTAATCGGGCTTTTCCTTCCTACTGGGCTTTTCCGCTTCTTCCGATGCACCAAGCTCACTGCTCGTTGTCATCGCTCACCACTCGCCCACTTTTCCTCTAGCTCGCTGCTTGTCAGCACCGCTCACCACTTGCCCCTTCTCCTCCAGCTCACGGCTCGTCGCCGCCACTCACCAATCGCCCCCTTCTCCTCCAGCATGAACGAGCAGCTCCTCCAGCGTAGTTACCCCTCCTTACTCTTACTTTCTTTCCACTCTTTTTCTTTTTTTCTTTTTCTTACGTAGTTTTGATGTTTGAGTTTGTGATCTTCTGAGACAAGGGAGTCTACTTGATTGATGAGGAATTCTTGCTGCTATTGATCTCAAATGAGTTTTATACTAAACTCAAATGAGTATACGCATAAAAGAAATGAAAAAAAATGAATAGTGAACTCATTAGAAATGAGTTTTATGTTAAACTGAAATGAGTATAACGTCCAAATTGAATGAGCATACAAATAAGATTTTGAATTTTTTTATACTGATTTTGTAAGTTATATATGCTCGTTTAGTGCCTTTTTATGCTCATTTTAAAATGTTGCATATTTCAAACGTATCATACTACTACATTGATTGTAGACATAATTTAAGAATTCTTTATAAACGAAAAAATAATAAAAAAGAAGATATGAAGCAGATATCACGATGCTCATTGTTAGGTTCATAATACTCAAAAGAACAAGCTTAGTGCTCACCAAAATTGCATCAATGCTCATTTAAGAGAAGTCACGATTTTCACCAAAATAATGAAATTGTGACCGACTGTATAATGTCAACCATACAACCGGTGGTACGATATACGCTTCCGTGCCTAGGCCAGCGCCTAGGTTGATATTTAGAAACAATGTTATTAACTTAGCCTGCAGTCCTACTATTTCATTCTTTAACATTTGAACAGGGAATAACTTTTGGTAATACCAATCTTTTTCATTAAATAATTCGTCGATAAGATTCTTTGGTTTCTAATTCGACGTCTCCATCTCCAAACCTGAAGGTTGATCGTTTAAGCACATACTCGTATATAAATAGTAAATATACACTCAAAAGAAACAACGGCCATAACGGCATAACCTATGAAGATTCCAACGAAGGTTCTTAAAGAACCTATGTAAAGATCTCCAAGTTAACACCTTCTGTGCATTCATACATTATTCTAAACTCTACACCTACCGCACCAAGTTACTACATGAATTCTCGATTGAAAATGCTGTGTACTTTTCTTTCTGAGAAGAAGGCACCAAGAAGCTGCATGAAAGAGTACGCACCAAAGAAACTAACTAATTGATGATTAACGTCCAATCTTTAATTACCAGAAGACTATGCTCCTCTCTCCAAAATTACTAAGCTTCATAGCAGTAAAATGCTTGGTAGCCCCGCACGTAAATGCATAATGCTGTATGCGGCCAGAAATCATTCTGGTGTGCGAATATAAATCCAAGAAAAATCAAACTAGGAGAAAATTTACTAACATCCCAAAACTTTACAATATATTTAATCACGCCTAGTTTACACAAACCACTATGTGTTTCAAGAGAGGCCAAGACAAAAGATACCTTTTATTGTCCGGTAAAACTCAGGAGCAATGCCCTCCGCTCCATATGGAGTCTCAGATTCTCTCAAAACGGCAGGCTCTTAGAGGTTGAGCTTGAAGTGAGTGACTTAAAATGATCCGAAGGAACGAAATCCTGTGGCAGATTAGCCCTCCTCGCCATTTTCTTCATGTTATGCTGCAAGCTCTGTTGAACTAATTGCTTGACAGCTTTTTTCTCATCACTCATCATACGGTCTTCATACTGGAGACTGTTCTTTAGATGATGACTTGAACATGTGGATGATTGTGGCGCCGATATTGTCACATTGAGATCACCAAAGTTTTCTGAGACTTGCTTCCCTTTGTCAACTCTCAAGCACTCCAATAGCCTTGACGCTCTTTTTTGTGCCAATGTACTTCCAATAAGTGTTAATTCAAGCAAGGAGGAGACGATTCCTGTTTCAAGCATTGTCTGTCGATCTCCATATGACTTATGTGCCATTACCATTAAAATATAAGATGCTTTCTCTTGGCAACCTGGGGAGTCAGTCCAGTTCATGATATCAACAAGTATAGGAAATGCATCAGGGACGACACTTATTGCCTTACGACCTTGTGGTATCGCAACTATATTACTAAGAATTGAGAGTATTCTCTCACTCACTTCCATATCTCCCAACTTTCCCATCATGAATGGCACTAGATCAGTCTCTAGGATTTGGAAAATGTTTGTAGATGAGATTGAAAGATTGTACAGCGCACGTAGTGAGTCCTGTCTGGCTTGAGCAATGTTTGCTTGGTCTGAATCTTTTAACACTTTTAACAAGAGGGGAATTGCGCCCGAGGAACCAATGATGGGTTTGTTGGCATCCAGCGCACTAAGACCAAGAAAATTGGCAACAATGGCTTCCACCACAGCTGGTTCTGTGGAACCGTTTGGCGATTCAATTAACTTTAGCATTTTATGTATAGCTCCAGCCTTCACAATTGCAGCTTTGTTTCTGCAAAAGATCCATTGTAGTAGTTATTAGCTGAATAAAATTTAAATAAAGCAAGATTGCTCTTTGTAAAACATTTGGACAATGTACCTCCTACACAAACAATATTCTTGTTCACAGAGACCGGCCAGATTTTTTGTTTTCATTGAAATTAGTTTTTTGGTCACCATGATATGACATTCAAAATTTCGTTAACAAAAACATTGTGGTGTTGTACAACTGGAGTCCAAGTCATATACATGCCAGCAATCCAGCATTATTCATCCAATGAAGTACACTTACAACTAACATATACAAATGAAGCTATAACCAATAATTATATAGTAATAACAAGTACCGACAAAAACAACCCAAAACAGGCAAAATTTTACCTACTCTCTCCCTCTGTCTCAAAAGCAATTTCCTTTTTTTCTTCACTAAGAAGCTTAAAGCAGAGACGGAAAGGCCAGAAACAGCCCCGAGAATGTGATCAAAGGGATAAAATTGAAGTAGAATATGAACAGTACAGTACAGACTTTCTATTTTAATGAAAACAAATCTTACTGGAGATTATACAGATCATAATACTGGCTGATTTCGAAATGAAAAGAAATACTAACAGAGAGAATGTAAGAAAGGGACAAACCTGTAATTGGATTACAATAACGAAGAGTAAGGGGACAAAGAAAACGACAATTAAGCCAGTGAAGTAAATGAAATTTAAAAAAGGGAGTAAAGAGAGCGACAGAAACTCACGCGTCATTTCCAATTGCCAGATTGAGCAGGGCATAGAGGGCGGCGACGAGGGAGGGGGAGTCGTCGGCGTCTAGAAGCGCCACCAGCGGCGGAATGGCTCCGAGCAGAGCGAGTGTCGTTCGGGCCTCCGAGTCGTCCTTGGTCAGCATTCGCACTTCCTTGGCTCCCTCCAATACGCCGCTAGCTTCGCAGCTCTGCAGCCGCTTCGTCACGCACTTCAACCGCTCCAGCGCGTCTACCTTCCTCCGCACCTCCTCCGGTTCTTCTTCCTCTGAGGTCTGAGACAGCCGAAGCAGGTCCGATAGCTTCTCCGATCCGGCAACATTAAATCCGCACTCAGATCTTTGACTGGGATGGCGACAGTTAGGCTTCCGCTCCATCGCAGATTTAGAAGCAGCGCTGGAATACTGCTTGTATCGCGCACCGCCTCCGCCGCAACGCACGGCGTCGAGGATCAAGCGGCGGAATGACGTTGACCACAGTTTGAAGTGACTGTGACCTTCGCTGTCGGCGGAGTGGTCGAGGACCACGGAAACGACGTCGTTACCGAGATGACACTTGCCCATTTCTACGCTATAGTTAGTACTACTGCCACTGAGCAGTCTATTTGTTTGCATTATACGGAGGATATATACATCCAAAGCACATGGATCACAGTGGTTTAGTTCTTAAAGCCAAAAATAGTGGTACCTGCAGCAGTGCTGATGGTACACTTTTGTTTCGCAGTGCTAAAACTCAAAAGGAAAATAATACTCCGTATAATGGTCGACAACTCCACATATATATATACACACACATACTCCCTTCGTCCCGTAAACAACTTCACACTTTCCTTTTTCGTCAGTCCCGAAATTAACTTCACATTTCTTCTCACTTCCTTATTTGGCAAATTCTCTACATCCAAACAATGTCAAACTGTCAAACGGTACCAAACAGTGTCAAACAGTATCAAACGGTACCAAACAGTATCAAAAAGTGTTCAAACAATGTCAAAAAAGTAAAATTTACCCCTTAATAAGTTTATTTCCTTAATACCCGTGAAGTCAGACTGTGAAGTTGTTTAAGGGATGGAGTGAGTATATACTACTCCATCCATTCCTAAATAAACTTCCAACTTTTCTTTTTCGTCCGTTCCAATTAAAACTTCCATTTTCCCTTTTTAGTAAAGAATTTGTGGTTCACAACATTTCTTACACATTTCTCTCTCATCTGCACAACTCTCCATCACACAATATCAACTATCTTAAATTGTGTGTCAAACCTATTTGAAAGCTTTAATAGGAACGGAGGGAGTATCGTTTATATATATGTAATGCTTGATGATCTGTCCAAATATAGGTTCGATGGATATTGATCTGTCCGTGGGTACTCTTTTTTCTCCAGTTTTATTAGTTATAAACACAATTTGTAAACTTAAAACTTGAGAACAGTGTAAAAATAGGATCATAAGTTTTGGGTGTCAATTTCTAGATAATGAATATCAGTTATATCACAAATGCCCTTATTCAAAATAAGAATGGCATTCTAAAGTATTACCTCCGTTCTTAAATAAGTGCAACATGTGAAATTTTACACTATTCACATGCTCTACTTTGACTACATTTTATTTATTGATGTATTAATATATTTTTTTGAAAAATATACTATTAAATTTATCTCATTGTAAATTTTCAAAAACTATTTTTTTAAATTTTTTTACTAATAGAGAATTATATATATTAATGGTCAAAGTTGTGTTTCAACAAGTGTGAAATGTTGACTGTTGCACTTATTTAAGAACGGATGAAGTAATTAGAATGTCAACTTACAAAAAATCAAGTCAAAATGTTTTTATCATCAAACACCAATAAATTATCTTGACTACATAAAAAAAATATAAACTTGATTGTCATTGTATAGAAGATGACGTTTCTATTGTTGATGTATAAAAAACATCTTGACTATATCGCAGGTGATTAACTTGAACGGGAAAATGTTACTCTGTTACTCCCTCCGTCTCATATTTATCTTCACAAATACAACTGACACACCTTTTAAGATAGTGGTATTGTATGATGAAGAGTTGTGCAAAGAAGGAAGAAATGTGTAAGAATTGATATGAACCGCAAATTCTTTGCCAAAAGGGGAAAGAAGATTTTTGTCGTTCTAAATATTACTTAGTTCAATACTTAGTTAATTTATAAAATTGAACAGTTTAATTTGGCTTTACTACTATATCTTGATTATATTTGATTTATTAAATATAGCATGCAGAAAACATGTACATTTAGCATTGCTAAATTTTGTAAGTGCAAAATACAAAAATATGTTTTAAAATAATTTTTATCAATTGGATATATATCCTAATAGGAGTTCACTAATTTGAGAGTTAAAAGAATATGTCGATTGTACGAGATCATTTTAGTAATAATGTATTTAGTTGGACTGATTTCAATCTGCGAGCATATTAGATCATATCAAACTTGGACAATTGGTAAAGTATAAATAAAACACTCTGATTAGACCATACCATAATAGCTCAGACCATATTTATACATACTAATAATATCATAAGACTACTTTTAATAATATTCATTGAATATGCTAAATTATAGCTAAATTACAAAATATCTAAAATATATTTCTTAATATGATGTACAAAATACTGAAAACTAAAACCATTCAATCCTACTAGTTAGGCAAAATATAGAGTACAAAAATAAACGAGAAAAACAAAATATATGTGTTATTGTTCTACGGTGCAGAACCTTCGACGAGTGTGGCAACGACGTGTGGGCGGTGTGGCAGTGTTTTTAATAATAGGAAAGTTGTTTCGTTCTAGTTCTAATGTTTTACGGTTCTACTCTTCTTACTAGAGTAGTGACGAAGGGTCATGGAAGAGGGGGGTCTTGTCCCTAAGGTTCTATTGATATGTGTGATTCAGAAGTTCCTTTTGTTGGTGTAGCTCGCGACCCGTCTCGCTGACTGACCCCTAGACCCTCATCCTTAGTCAGGGCAGACGGGTGTCTTTAGTGTTTGGGGTTGTCTTCGGTGTGTGGGACATAGGTCCAGACTTAGTAAGCTCCATCACACAGTCAAAATGTGATAATAGTCCATGCTTTATTCACACTTGATGAGTCCTATTTTTATATCAAGAATTTGACACATTTGTCTAAATCCCTAAATTATCTTTATACTTTAAAGTCACTACTACTCCGTACAGCCATTGGTGGGGCCAAAAACACGATAGGGGATCAAATAGCCAAAAACACATTAGGGGATCAAATTGAGATAAAATACAAGTTTAATAATTCATATGTATGTGTGATAAATGCTAGTTTAAATAAGTTATAGAAAATTATTGATTTGATATAGAAAAATGGTCTGGTTATTACTAATGGACAGTTGATTTCCAAATATATGACTCTTTTGATATATTCCAAAAAAGTGACCAGCTGCACACCATCAACACACTACGCATCGCCTTCTCTCTTCATTCCAAAGAGCTCCCACCAAACCCCTTTCTTTCTGCCATCCTTGCATCGTCGGAGCCAAGTCGTCGCCTCCTAGCCACGTCGACCGTAAGAGCCTCTCAGTTGTGGCGGTGGCCATCGCCTACGCCTTGCACTGTCGCCTACGCCTCTCACCGTCACTGCATTGTCTTTCTTCTTCATCAATTCGGTGCTGCAGAGGCTCGACAAGGATGAAGCTTCGTATTCAGATCTACGCCGCCGTCACCTACGTATTCAGATCTGCGGCAGTGGCTTTAATTTTTCATATCTGAGGCTAGGTTAACAACCGAACAAAGGTGGGAGAGGGAGAATCGTAGGCGTACGTGGTGGGCCTGGCCGCCTGGAACAAGGGATGGGGAAATGGTGGGCGGCGGTGACAGGCCTGGCTGTGCCTGTGGCGGGGAAGAAGGTTTGGGGGGCATGGTCTTGGGGAAGATGTGGTGGGGCAGGAGAGCGGCCTAGGGGCTGGAGGTTGGGGTTGGGGCAGGGGGTTGGGGGCTATGGTTTGTGGCTGGGGGCTGGGGTTGGGGGCTGGGGGTTGTGGGCTAAGGGCTTGTGACTGGGGGCTAGGGGTTGGGGGATGGGGAGTCAAGCTAGGGTGGGGTGGTGTTCAGCGGCGGAGGTCCGCGGTAATGGTCGGCGGCGGCGCTAAGGCGGGGTTGATTGGGGGACGGAGACTGAGGGGGCTGTGACACCGGAGACGGTGTGTCACTATGGCGGTGTCACTGTAATCGGTGGGCGGGCAGTCACTGTGGCCGGTGGGACAGTCATTGTGGCCGGTGGGACAATCACTGTGGCGGTGGGACAGTCACTGTGGCCAGAGGGGCAGTCACTGTAGTGACGGAGTCACTGTGGTGGTGGAGTCACTTTGGTCGGAGTCATTGAGATAGTGAGCGACGGCGGTGCTAGGGTCAGCGGCTACGGAGGTCTGGTGGCTGCAAAATATGGACTACTAAAAATAAAATGAATATTAAATAATAAATGCATGATTAAATAAATAAATGACTTTTGGTCACTTTTTTTGAAAAATTAAAAAAAAGTAAAAAAATAAAAAATAAAAGAGGTCACATTTTTGTCTTTTTCATTAACTTTAGTAATATTGCAATAAAAGGCCTTTGATATATATTTCGTCTATCCTTCAAAATTTTGTCAAGTTTAACCGGCACGAGAAATAATAAAGTAAAAACCGTAAAATTGAGATTTTGTACAGGAAAAAAGAAAAGCAGGAAGCACAAGTTCATTATTAACAAGGAAAGTAACAAAGTCGTAGAGAGTAAAAAAGGAAAGATAACATGTAGCTAAGGTCTGAATAAGAAGTTCTTTTTTTGGCAAATCATTCTAACCTATTAAGTATCTCTTCTGTTAAGACCAATATTCTTGAATCGAGATGAGATTCGAACTTAGGACCCCTTTCTTGAGAGTGTCAAGTGATGTCATCAAATCACAAGGAGTAGTAGTGAATAAGAAGTATTATTGTTAAATTTGAGAACAATAAATATTACGAATGAATTTTCGTCAATTTTCAAATTTAGATGATGTTGAATTTTCAAGAGTCATAATTTTTGACTCATAAGAAGTTAAGATAGTTAGATACTCTTGGTCCAAAAGGTGGAATCTCCCATCGTAGGAGTCCCCATACCCCGACCCGACACGATTTTTGGGAGGATGTTAATCACGGTGACTCAATCGACCCAATGATGGTATGCCTTTTTCTCGTGTGCACCAGAGGCCTAACCTTATTTCAGGTTCTGTGACCTCCACACGGCCGCTGCGGATTTCGAACCTTGGTAACTTGGTCCAAATTTCTCACCACTAAACCAACTGAGCTACCCGTGCGGGTAGATAGTTAGATACTCGGTATAACAAATGGAGGCGCTATTTTAGTGTGTTGTGTTCTCAAATTTTCAGGAAACATTTTGAGTCATTGACTTGCTTCTGCCTACAACAATTCAAAGTTGCTTTCAAAATCTAGCATACTTTTGTTAAAGCTATTAATCACTCCGTATTAAGTTCTTAAAATGTCCACCTCGACAAAAATAGTAAAATGCATTTATATTTTTTTATTTGAAATTCGAGTCAACTCGATGCAAATATATTTTACATGGATAATAAACAATAAAAGCTTTTATATAATCTTCACCTTCCAGTTGAATTAATACCTTTATTAATAGAATATGTTTCAAATTCAATGAAAACTGTGAAAGAAAAAAGGTGCTCTGTTTGCCGTCATTTTGGCGGCTTTAAGCTAACTTTCACTAAACATTTGACCGCTAAATTTGTGAACGACCAAAAAGTAGATTTTGACGTTTCCTTGATTTTCTACATTTCCTCTATGAATATACTTCTCCCTCCGTCCTATTTGTATTTTCGTAGTTCGGTTTACGACGCTTGACTGACAATAAAGCAATTTGATCCCTGTTTACATTCAGATTATTTTTAGTAAATTAAATTTAAATATTCAGAAACTGTATTAAATCCGCTACAAAGTCTGATCAAGAAAAATTTAAGTTTGATAAAAATTTGATATGTATAGTAAAAGATTAAGAGTAATTTGAGTTGACCATATGAATAGTAAGTATGAAGATAAATATTGGATGGAGAGGGAAGGTGGGTGTAGTCCAATGGATGACCATTCACCCCCAAGTCTCTTCTTTGTAGGAGGTTTTGGGTTCAATTCCCGCCAAGGGGGGATGAGAGAAGTCTTGCTCCCAATGATTCTTCCTACCTTCACGGAGTTGCTCAACGGCTGAGAAAGGAGAGGATGGTAATGAAGGTAGCGGGTTCGTGTGGTGGGAGGAGCAGCCTGAAAGGTGGTGTAAGTCCTGTTGGATTCGTCATTTGGGAACCAGTACTGACGAGACTGACTGTGATCAGATCCGGATTTAACTGTCCAGGGGCTTTGGAGGATAGTTCATAGACTCCAGGATTATAGGAGCGTAAGCCCCGACACCTGGATTATTAAAAAAAATATTGGACGGAGGGAGTAGTTTTCAACACGAGCGATTGAATAAAATGTCCAATGTATTTTTTTTATTGAGATATATGTATATTGTACGTTGATTTGATATGATTATTTCTAATGTTTGAGATTAGGGATGGATTCGAGCCGGGTCGGGCCCGGGCCGGGCCTAGGCCCGGTCGGGCCACCGGTTCGTATCACATGGGCCCGGGACCGGCCCGAGGGTTGGACGGGTCCGGTTCGGGCCGGGCCACCCGCCCGGGTCACGGGTCGGGCCACCCGCCGGGCCGGGCCGGTTAAATTTTTTTTTTTAAATTTATATTTTATACTTTATAGTTTTATACAAGTATTAAAAAACAAACTTCAAGTGCATTTATTTCAAATGAAACAGGAACTACATTTGAAAATTAAATAGGAACTATAATTGTTTTTAATCGGAATCTCCGGCATAGGTAGAGCCACCATCTGTTGTAGATTCATCCATAAAGTGTTGGGATGGAGTGATGTCAATTTCTTGAGCTCTACGTGCTGCTTTCAACCAATCGTGGTAGCATATAAGCATCTCAAGAGATTCAGCGCTCAACCTCGTTCTGGTTTGTGTTAGAACATTGCCGGCCGAACTAAATTCTTGTTCCACGGTAACCGTTGAAACCGGCATTGATAACACTTGCTTAGCCATCTTTGCTAAAATCGGGAACATTCTTTCTTTTCCCTTCCACCAGTTTAGTGCGTCAAAATCATCATCTTCTTCAAAATCAACATCATAAGATAAATACAAAGAAATTTCATTAATTGTGCTTTGTTGTGTAGCGGGAGTTGATTTTGTTTTTTTAATAAGATTGGCAAACGTAGATTTGAAAATTGATTTTCCTTTAGATGATGTTTGTGTCGGGGGAGGGGGCGCATTGCCATATTGTGCATGAAACTCATTGAATAATGCATAAAATATATCACTAACCTCGTTGTATTCTTTTTTCTGATCAATTGGGTTGTCCTCATACATTGGCAATGGACCAAAAAAAGCAGCATAATAATAATTCAAACATTCTTCTAAAGAACCAAGTCTAAAATGAGGATCGAGAACAAATGCAATACCATAAATATGCGGAATATGTGAATAATATTTTAAAAAATTTTCCTTCATAAAACCAGCAAAATAACTCACATAATCAGCATTCTCAAAATTTGAAAAAGCACCGGCGAGATTAACAGCTTCACGAATAAATTGGTTTGAGGTAGGTTTATAAACATGACTAAAAGTTTCAGTTGCATTATTAAAATATATCAAAGCATTACAAATTTTTTCACAGATGTCGATCTCAGCCGAGTTTATAATATAGTTATCATATTGTTTCATAAAAGCAGGAAAATGTTGTTTATATCTAAGAAGAACTCCAATTAACTTATAGGTACTATTCCAACGAATAGACAAATCTTTTGGAAAAGCCACATATCTCTCACCTCTTTCTATCAAATAATCATGCCATTTTTTTCTAAGTTGTCCATTACCCCAAATACGTCTAATCCCCCCCTTGACTACCTCCAACGATGCTCCCAACGCTTTTAGACCATCTTGCACACATAAATTTAGAACATGACATGCACATCGTTGATGAAAAAATCTACCAATCAAAGAAGTAGAACCACACAATTCACGCAATCTAGGAATAGCAGCAGTATTATTAGTAGCATTATCAAAACCAATAGCAAACACCTTATCAATTAAATTATACTCAATTAAAATACGTTCAATCAAAATATAAATATGTTCAGCGGTGTGACGATCATTAAATTCACGGAAAGCAAGAACACGTTTATGCATATGCCAATCATTATCAATATAATGTACAGTCAGACCCAAATAATGTAAATTATGATAAGTATCCTCCCATATGTCAGAACATACAGTAACACGTCCATCAAAGTTTGCAAAATAATTTTGTAACCTTACCTTTTCCGCACCATAAAGCCTTGAAATTTCTTTCTTAACCGTTTTGCGACTATAACCTCTATATTGCGGATTTAAACAAGTTTGTACATAATCACGAAAAGCAAGACTTTCAGAAAACAAATAAGACAAATTTTCTTCAACAAGTAAGTTAGCCATACCTGTCAAATTTTGTGCATCATTGTATGAGAAATTACCAAAAGCTTGTTGGTTATTTGCAAACCTCGATATTTGCGTTTGCTTCCCCGTTCCGCCGCCTAATTTTGCATACTCCACCGGGTGTTTGGACTTAAGGTGTCTTGTGGCGGATCCGTATCCGCCGGAAATCCCCAAGCTATAGTTTTTCTTGCACCAATTGCAAGTTGCGGTCCAATTCCCGGTGTTCGGGTCCTTCCACTTAGAAAAATTATTAGCCATTAATTCAGATTTACTTTTTTTTGTACCTGTTTGGGATGAGGCTGCTTGATCGGCGTCATGGCTGCCGCCACCCTCCTCCTCGTCGTCGTGGCTCTCCGGAATTGCTTCCTCCACATCGTCGTCCTCGTCCTCGAGCTCTTCTTCGTCAATGGTCCTCGGTTGGTCTTGAAAAAAGCGGGAATTATGCCGATGCAATTCTTGTTCTAGTTGTTCGTCGGTCATCGCATCCCCATCCCTCCTTACGTAACCCGTATCAAAATCATCTTGACTTTGAGATGAAGAGCCGATATGTGATTTACCTTTGCGGGATCTCTTCCTCGCAAGCTCTTTCGTTCGGTTGCGCTCGAGGTTACCCATATCAACCGAATATCTAGGACGATCCATCTAAAAAATGTAGCGATTAATAAAAAATTGTAAAAAACTAATTAACTATTTATCTAACTATTAATTCGAGTTATAGCAAATTAAGTAGTGAATTAACTAGTTTTGTGTACAACATATTTTTTAAACTAGAGTCAAATGTAGCAATTAATAAAAAATTGTAAAAAACTAATTAACTATTAATTCGAGTTATAGCAAATTAAGTAGTGAATTAACTAGTTTTGTGTACAACATATTTTTTAAACTAGAGTCAAATGTAGCAATTAATAAAAAATTGTAAAAAACTAATTAACTATTTATCTAACTATTAATTCGAGTTATAGCAAATTAAGTAGTGAATTAACTAGTTTTGTGTACAACATATTTTTTAAACTAGAGTCAAATGTAGCAATTAATAAAAAATTGTAAGAAACTAATTAACTATTTATCTAACTATTAATTCGAGTTATAGCAAATTAAGTAGTGAATTAACTAATTTTGTGTACAACATATTTTTTAAACTAGAGTCAAATGTAGCAATTAATAAAAAATTGTAAAAAACTAATTAACTATTTATCTAACTATTAATTCGAGTTATAGCAAATTAAGTAGTGAATTAACTAGTTTTGTTTACAACATATTTTTTAAACTAGAGTCAAATGTAGCAATTAATAAAAAATTGTAAAAAACTAATTAACTATTTATCTAACTATTAATTCGAGTTATAACAAATTAAGTAGTGAATTAACTAGTTTTGTGTACAACATAATTTTTAAACTAGAGTCAAATGTATCAATTAATAAAAAATTGTAAAAAACTAATTAACTATTTATCTAACATTCTAACTATTAAACAAGAGTCAAATGTAGCAAATTAACTAGTAATTAAACAAGTGTAAATAATAGAATAATTTCGTACCTCTTTCGGACTTTCGGTCTTTCGGATGGGAGTAATAGAATGACTTCAAATTAATTAGATATAATTCCAACTATATTAATAGATATAATAAATATATATGTAATATATAATTAGATAACAAATATAAGTAATATAATACTATTTATATATATTTATAGTTTATATAACTAGATAATTAATATGAAGTATAAACTATAAATAATAAATATAATATATTGGAGAATGGAGAATAAGAGAATTAGAGAGTAGAGAGTTAAGAATAGGATTTAGGAAGAATTGGAGAAGAGATATGAAAAAATGTTTAAGATTAGGAGTATTTATAGGTTTTTTTACCCCCCACCCCCCCCCCACCCACCCCCCCACCACCCCCACCAGCCAACCCCCCCGGACCCCCCCTTTACCCCACCCAACGGCTATATAGCCGTTTGGGTTGTCCCCAGCCCCACCCCCAACGGCTAGTAGCCCAAGAGCCCAAACAAAAAAAAAAAATTAAAATTAGACCGGACCCGGGCCCGGGCCCGACCCGGCCGGGCCGGGTCACAATAATCCAGCACCGAGCCCGCCCCGCCCCTTCCCACCGGTTCGGGTCCATACCCGGTCCCTGACCGCCCGACCGGGCCGGTCCCGGGCCCGCACAGTACCGGGCCGGGCTGGGTCACGGGCCGGGTGGCCCGAACCGAATCCATCCCTATTTGAGATGTTAACATTTGCATCAACTTAAAAATAGAGTATTTAGTGTTTCTTCATATGAAGAGGACCCGAAAATAAAAAATGCAAATGCACAATGGGCTAGACCTTATTTTCCTATTTTTCTACTTTAGTACGTGTCATTATCGTTTTCCTCTTTCTTTTTTTATTAGTAATGTAAACAAATTGTAATCATTTAATATGATTTTACATTTTTCTTGATGATTTTCAATTTAACACTATTAATTTAAGCATGACTATTTTTACCTCATTGTAATATAACCCTAAAAATCACAAAAAAACAAACCAAGAAGCCGATAGCTCAATTGAGCAAGCTTGAAATTTTGGATAATTATTAAAGTCAGCGTGTATGGATGAGGAGAGATAGTTCAACTTAGGAAGACCAAAAAGACATGCTTTATAATTTTCACATACCAAAAGCTAAGCCACCACCTATTTCAATCATCAGAGAAGTGCTCTGCATTAAAGTTATGAACAAAATAGTGTGCCCTGATGCCTATCTATCATAAAGTTTCTTACGAATCTCTGTGGGGTGATCTAAGAGACTAAAATAGTGTGCCCGGTAAGGCGGTAAATGGTTTAGTTCAGAATGCAATATATAAGCAAGTCTTCTTGAACATTTATACTCCGTATTATACTACGTAGTATTATTGGTTTAGGAAATGCCCAATATATATTACTCCATCAGTCCCAAAAATAACTTCACACTTCGTTTTCCACACATATTAAGGAAATAAATTTATTGGGGGGTAATTTTTACTGTTTTTACACTGTTTACCACTGTTTGACACTGTTTGACACTATTTGACACTGTTTTAATGTAGATAATTTGCCAGATAAGAAAGTGAGAAAAAGTGTGAAGTTAATTTTGGGTCATCCATTTAAGAAAAGTGGGAAGTTGTTTTTGGGACGGAGGGAGTATATTTGTAGCACCATATAATTATTGAGATATTTTAATTGTTTCTTAAGAGCACCATATAATAGTAGTAATATAAAAAACATGTGAAATTTGAGACTCTGATATATGGTGCATGAAGTGCAATCATAAAGAAATTCCCTATTGTCTACGCATGAAGTGCAACGTATCATTACATCTACGTAATGGTAACAATATAATTATATGAGTTATAAACCGAATTTGTTGGTTATCCAATCATTTCCTCCTCAAATCCTCCCTCCTAAGACACTAAATTAAAATAATACAGAGTAGCAATTACAACGTTTTTCTCGCACCTATACATTTGAGACTAAAAAAATCGTCATCTTATATAATCTATGACACAAATTTATAAATTTAGTCGCAACCAATGTTCCAAGCGCTCATGCTAAACTTGCTTCTCGAGATTTCATAACCAGAATGCTTACCTGTGGGGTAACTCAAACTTTCTTGCATGAATTAGAGCGTGTTATCCATCAAAGATTTAAAGTTGAAAAATAATATTATTGTCCCGGTTATAATTTTAACTTGTGTTTAGACTTTAGGGTTCAAAATTGTGCACTCTTATACACAAAATATTGTTTCAAATAAACTGAAATTCAGAATTTGTTAGGATGCCCTGATGGTATGAAATTCGATGTCATTGAGTCTCTCTCTGACTCTCTCTTACTCGTATTACACATTAGATAAATGTTTGAATCCAAGTCAACACACTTTACATGAGAATTGGACAACTTCTAAATGGTTTAATTATGGCTCTAAATCAATATCATAAAACTTAAATTCATGGGCTAATGTTTCTTTAACTCATGAATAATATCTCCCTTTTTGTCTTAACCATTTACATAAACGGCTATGATTATTAGACCATATTTTTTATCTATATTAGATTGACTCGACTGCACTTTTAAATAATTTGTGTTTTCAAGTACGTAAAAGTATTAGGATCATCTATTACATAAAATGCTTATGGTTTAATTTTGAGTACTCTCCATGGCATAAGGAAGTCCAAGATTTTTAGCAGACCTTGAAGTGCTCAAGTATCAGACTTTCTCACTTACAACAACATGCCCTTGCTTTATGTATGGGTCTGAACCGTATAATCCAGTCCTAAAAGAGCTAGAGGAGGAGCAACCACCCCACCTTACACTACCTAATTTGAAACGAAAAAAAAAACAGTGACACATATAAAAAGAAAAATTGAATTAAACTCTAAATAAAGTGTAAATTGAAAAAAAGCAACTCTAGTTTGTTACTAAGCATTTCATACGCACAAATTAAACCAAATCACAATAAGAGACACATCACAATAACAAAGTGTAAAAGAAATTATGGGTCGCCTAGATGTACTAAAGAAGAAGAAAGACAGATGGAGTATAGTACTATTGTCCACGTACATGTTTGACGTTTCAACATCGAATATTGGAATAGTATATATGTTTAAGAGGAGAAGATTAAATGAAGAAATCAATCATTCGGAGTAGCAGTAGCAACGGATTGAGAAGACACCTTCCGGTTTTTGTAAAGGTTAAAGCATTAACTAGCAGTTCAAAACCTTAATACTATTGCTGCTTCTAGGATTAATGTATAAAAATATATTATTATAAGGCACACACCTTTTATTTGGCTCCAACTACAATATACCACGTCTATTTAGATGCAATAATGAAAATGGTCTTTTTTGTTGGCATGCCATCTATTTCAATCATGAGTTGGTTAATTAAGAACCCGATCATTAGACTCAGATGCATCTCCACATCTGCTTTCTCTCTGCAACAAACAAATTCTAATTTGACTCAACTACCAAACATTGAATGGAAATATGACTGTTTCTATAGATATATCCACACCAGCAACCTGTCAAACTAAGCAACCTAATTGTAGATTACCTAGTACCGCATATACTTCACCAGCACCAAAGATTCAATAAAGATTGTGATGGATAGTCTACCCGGGGGTATATATCCGAAGGGTTGTTGCGGGGAATAACTTAGAGAGAAGTCAGAGCACAAGTAAGTAAGAGAGAGAGAGCGTATTATAAATGCGGAGTGTTTTCAGCGTGGTCACAAATGAGGAAATGGGGTGCTATTTATAGTAGCAATAAATGCCGGACAGGGACACGTGTCAAGCGCTCATTGGCCGAGGGGTCACTTCAACTGGTTGGCGTTGGCAGCCGCATGTGGCCGCATTTAATGCGGCTGTTGGATGGGACGTCTGTGCAGGGTACGGTGATCTGTACGCATGTGAGGTGGATATCTTGTCGAGTGAGATGCCTTCGGCTATAGAGCAGTAACCGAGGGCTCCTCCATCCGATGGCACCCTGGTGCCGAGGGCTCACAGTGCCGAGGGCTACTGTTTTCGCCGTTTTCTCCCAGTTTCTTAATTTGCTTGAGAAACCCGTTCTGTGAGAGTTTAGAGCCTTCGGCCAGGGGGCCGAAGGCACCCCTGGCGCGTAGTGCGGGCTGCTTGGTACTCTGGGCGCTGTGACTTGGGCCTGTTGGGCCTTCTGGGCCTGTTGGGCCTTCACTAGAGTAGTAGGAGTCTGTGGGCCGGGGGTTCCCGGGCCATATACTCCATCAGGAGTCCCTCACTCCTTTTGCCGAAAGGTACTTGAGGGAAAAGGAGTAATTTGTGCTTGCCCTTTGATGTTGTCCCGTCGTGATCTCTGAAGTTGGTGAGAAGTTGTTGCTTTTATGTCCCTGCCGAAGGCAGTCCCTCAGTTACCCACATGTCGGGACTTGAGGGCTTGCTTTGTCGTTTGTTGGAATTTCACTAATTTTGTAATTTAATGATTTTCCCGAGGGGGTCCTCCAGACCCCCACTCCTTGAGGCACTTGTAAAGTGGTGAAAAGGAGTAGAGTAGTCGTGTTGCTGTTGTGGGCCGAAGGCTGACGCTTTTCGTTTCATTTTGGGGGGATGCCTCGTTAAAAACCTCATTAGGAAAAACCCTGGGGGGAAAAATCCTAATGAGGGAAAAAGAGTGCACCGAATTCCCCCAATGATGAATCGAAAATGTCAAACCTTGGTCAAAAGTGGAGAATGACGGTAATGCCGCAGGCTATCTTTCATCTGAGGGCTCATGTGTTGATTGGCCGAAGGCTTGCTGTTGATGCCCTGGGGGCGCCGAAGGGGAGCCCCTCAATCTGGGGATTGAGGGCCCGCTGGATGAGGGCAGCGGTGGAGTTGTTACCGGGGGGTCCACTGTTTGTCGATTAGTTGTTGATGAAGACACCCGAGGGCTCCCATTACCTGTGTGCCATGGGTTATCCGTCAACGAGGCAACTCCCCGGGGGCTACCCGGTTTTGCAGTGCTGAGGGGGAAATCCCCGAGGGGTGCCCTGATATGAAGCCTTGGGTTTCCGAAAGAGTGATCCCGAAGGCGTCTGTTATGTGCTGTGTGGGGCACAACCCAGGGGCGGCTCTGGGTAAGTGTACCCGGAGGCTCTCCTTGGTGAAGTGGAGTGAAGTAAAAAAGGTCCGGGGGCTCCCAGAATATAGCCGTTGGGAATATATCCGTTGGAATACGTACCGCCAGGATATAGCCGTTGGGGGGGGTACACGTGGCGCGTGACGGTTGGCTGTCCGTGGGCGGCATCACTGGTTGGGCGAAGACGCGGCGTGTAATGATGGCGGTCCATCCGGGGGCCCGGAATCCAGGCTCAAGCCCGGATTCCAGCGCCTATAAATACCCCAAGGCCAGGGCCATTCCCCGCTGTGCGAACTCAGTGTAGCGAAGCTCTGGCAAAAATTCTAGAGAGAGAAACTCAAGCCTTCGGTAAAAACTCAGCTTTCAAGGTCAGTTCCCCCCACCTTTCTCCTTCTAGTTTAGCTGTGCCCTGTGCCCCTAGGTTAGGAGATAGAATTTCCTAGGAAACCTTAGTTTTCCCGAGCCTTCGAATTAGTGAGCAGATGTCATCACAGAGCGACTCCCAGGATATCTCGGGGGAGCCTTCGGTAGAGATGGAGACATGCTCAGATGTGGAGTCTTCTAACGTGGAGTCCTCGGCGGGTGGTGATGCCGCAGTGGCCATGGAAGTGGAGAAGGACCTCCAGGCCGAAGTCGAAGTCGAGGGCTTCGAGCAAGAAAACGAGGATGAAGAGCTTGCCCTCGCCGTGCAAACCGCAGAGCAAGAAGAGGAGAGGGAGAGGTTGAAGGTGACGGTTGCCATTCCTCCCCCCGGGGTGCCGGGGAAACCTGCTCCTCCCGGCCATTGGATCCGACGCCCATAAGTGTGGCTCCCGGGAAGAAAAACAAGATGAAGGCGGCCCCAAGGAAGAAGCAAGCGGCAGTTGATGCTGGGCGACCGGTGGGCATACCCGAGGGCCATTCGTTCCTGAATACTGCCGCTCTAGAGCTGAAGACGAAGGCGTCCCCGGCAGAATACCAGTCCACCCAGATGCTGGTTGGACCTTCGGCGCGCGTGGTGGAGCCCAGGGCGGATGATTTGCTGCGATATGCGCCCGAGGGGTGTTTTGCTGCTCACACCCTCTCGGTGGAGATGGGGCTTCGGTTCCCGCTCCATCCTTTTCTCTTGGAGTATCTGAGATTTGTGGGGTTGGCCCCTTGCCAGCTAACGCCCAACAGCCACTCCTATGTGGCCGGCTTCCTCTCCTTGTGTCAGAGCCGGGGGGTCGAGCCCACACTTGATCAATTCTTTATGTCCTTCAACCTCTGCCGGGGGGACATTCAAATGCTGAGGGCTTTGCCAACCTTCAGCAGGTACCGGAGTTCCGGCTTTTTGATGATGTGCCCTCGTCTCACAAGGGGTGGAAGGAGAGGTTCTGCTACATCCGCCTCGAGGAGAACCCCTTCCCGGCCCAGCTCCGTAATAGCTTCCGGCGCCATCCGAAGGTGGGGAGCGCAGCTTTGGAGAAGAACGGCAAAGTGCTTGCCAAGAAGCCGGAGGGGTCTGACAAGCACGTCAAGATCAGAGAAGTCACCCTCCCGGAGGATTTGCTTAGCCTGGGCTTCCGGCAGTTCAGGCCGAGGGGCTCTTCGGATGAGAGATACCCTCCCCTCGATCGGGTCTTCGAAGGCGCTGGAGGTGATCACCGAATTGTTCACTGATGCGTTGATAGTTCTCTCTCATTCCCCATTTTTTTTACGACGTAGTAACTTGTAGCCTTCGATCTAACCCTCTTGTGTTTTTCTTTTTTGTTGCTTGCAGGTAACAATATGTACGTCGATTCCCTCTTCGCTCTGAAAAACGCGAAAGGGAAGAAGAAGGCCCCGGCGGGCGCTTCTGCCAGGGAGGGGCCCTCTCAAACTGCTGCCGCCGCTGCTGGCGCCGGAGGGTCCAAAGGTGCCGGGCCCGTAAAAAAGAAGATCGCTGGAAAGGGGACCGAGCCCCCGGCCAAGAAGCCGAAGACCACCGCCCCTACCAAACAGCCGATCACCGATGTGGTGGTGATCGTTGACGAAGGGCACGCTTCTGCCTCCACCCCCAGGAACAAATCAATCAGGAGTTCTTTGGGCGGGAGAGGTTGGAGGCGTTAGTACCGAAGGGGGCCTCCGTGTTGGAGGGCAGTTTGAACCCTTCGGCTCTGATGAGCCAGATGCTGCCGTCGGCCGACCGACTGGCCCTTGCCCGGCTGGACGAGGGATCCCTCGAGGCGAAGGTCCTCCTGAATGCTGCCTCCGTAAGTCACCCTCCCTTCTTTGTTCATTGTTATGTTTTCCTTCTGTACTATGTTCATTATGCCTTATTCTTGCCTTCGTGAATTGCAGAGTTTTATGGGCCTCTGCGAGCACCTCCGAAGGGTGGATCAAATGAGGGAGGCCAAGGGTGCCGCCGAGGGGGAGGCCGCCCTCCTCAGGAAGAAGCTTGCTGAAGCCGAGGACTCTCTCCGTCTGGCCACTGACGGCATGGAGCAGAGGGTGCAGGCTGCAAGGGCCGAAGGGGTTAATGAGGGACTAGCCAGGGCCGGGGAGGCCGCCGCCGAGGCCGCCCGCATTGCTGCCGATGAAGCCCGCGCGGCTCAAGAAGAGGCCGTCTCCAAGGCCCGAGAGGATGCGGTGACCAGCTTCACAGCCGAGGGGTGGAAGGCCGAAGACCGGAGGGAGTGGCTCGCTTCGGTGGTGGGGGCTTCAGTGGACGAGTGGGTCGGAGGCCCCGGAAAGATGTGGCTTGCTGAGAGGGGCGACTCGTACTACCAAGGCGGGGAGTTCTTCACCCAACGCCTTATCTACCGGAAGCTTGCGAAGCACTTTCAGGTGGCACCGGAGGAGTTCCGTCCAGAAGCTTATAATACGCTCTCTCTCTCTTACTTACTTGGTACTCTGGGCGCTGTGATTTGGGTCTGTTGGGCCTTTTGGGCCTGTTGGGCCTTCGCTGGAGTAGTAGGAGTCTGTGGGCCGGGGGTTCCCGGGCCATATACTCCATCAGATTGTTTAGTTGATAATAGTTTTTAAGGGTCATCCTATTTAGTTTTTTAATCTGAGAATATTTTACACTAAAGAGCACTGGTTTTGAGATCTAGTATACAATGAATATAAAGCTTGTTCAAGTTGAAAGAATTTTACTTGTATTGTCACTGATATCTGTCTTTATGCATAAAATGAGTTTTAATTACACTGATTTGTATTTCTCTTCTTCTTTGGCTAGCCCCTTGCAGTGCACTGCCATTAATGAAAACAACAAACGGTTCATAGGCATTTAGTCAGAGTTAGTAACAAAAATTGGCAACAAAATTCTACTGATGGAAGCTTTCAACCTTATTGCATAGCAGACTACTATAATAGGAATACACTAACATTTCTATGTACCATTTGCACCCTTACGTCTCTCTAATGGCAGAAGCAAAACAATTCCAATAAAAAATTGATCTAAAATTAAACTGAAAATTGAAAGGTTGAGGTTAAGATTCAATATACGATGAGAAGAAGATGGAAACTTACTAACTCTTCAGTGAGCTTTAGTCGATTAATTTTAGTCACCGGTCATCTTCACCCCTTTTGGTCGACATTTACGCCCAGGAGCCATGGCGTGTTTATCTTCCTCCAAGAAGGCAAGAAACCCTCGTATGTATTTCAGAGTCTGCAGACGTTTTGTATATCCCATTTCCCTTCTTTGACTTCTGATGGCACGAGTACCGCACGACAATGAAAGAATCAGCACCAGAGTGTGATCGCCAAAGGGCTCGTCCTAAAATTCTACTCTCCTCTTAATCCAATAAAAATACCTTTAGGTGAGAAAGTGGAATTCAAAAAAAAAAAGGTGAATTGATAAACGGGTTAAATGAGCCAAATCCTAGTGAAATATAAATTCGGTGCATTAGCCCTTGTTCTTTGAGGGGGTTTGGCGCATGATTAATTATAACATAGGGGGGTTTGACGCATTTTTTAAATCACAGGGGCTAATGCACCGAATTTATATTTCACTAGGGGGTTTGGTGCATTAAACCCATTGATAAACGGCAACGAAAGAAGGAAGCTGTCACCGTTAACATTTCCGGTTAAATGGGAAGTTAATTAACATAAGTCAGATGTACACCAAAATAAACATAATGTACAATGACTTAATGCATGAAGAGACACCGACATTTTTTTATGCCCGTTAAACCCCTGACAAAATTCTCTCTTATAATATAGTAGAGATTTTGAATAATCTTTTTCTAATTTTATACTACCTCCCTCCCAATAGACTTTGCAATCTTGGAACTATGTGAGAAATAAGAATAATAAAAATTGTGTGGTTAAAGTTTATGCACAGAAGAGAGAAATGAGCAGAACTATAAATTAGATACTTAATGGGAAAATGTCAAATTTTTTTGGGACAACTAAAAAGAGAAAGGTGACAAAATCTCAATGGGAGGAGTATAAAGTAATTCATTCAATATAGCAAAAGGAGAATTTACCCAAAATAGGAATAAAGGTGTTTATATATTTTAAAACAGAACTGCTTTTTTTGTTCGCTAAATAAAAGTAATTACTGTCATTTTTGGCATTACCATACTTTAGACACGACAATATTTTTCAAGCTTTACATTAATTACTCTTATCACGAGAATGAAAAATGACAGTCCTGTTTTAAAATTTTAAAAATTTTTTACTTCTATTTCTGAAATTTTCATAGAAAAAATGACTAAGATATTACTCCTATGGTTGTCATGCAAAATATTATATCACCCTCCCCTAACGTAAAATATTTTACACAATTCAGGGTGAAATGTTTTTGAAAACAATGTTACAATTTATATTAAATAGTCAAGTCAAACGGGGTAAACGTTTTAGGTTGATGCCAGCTACACTTCTAATGATTTTAATCTTACGAAGCCTACCCTTTGTTTAACATTTATCGCAAGAAAGTTCTCCTAGCCATTCTTCTATTCCACCCTCCTAGTTTTATCATCCAAAATATGACCTTACATGTACCCTACCCTTCTAAAGTTCTAATACCACTCCTTCGTCTTTAGTGGAAACCTCCGCCCTCCGCTGCCACGTAACCACCACTTCCCCCTTACTAGCCTTGATGTTGTTGTTGACTCTTAATTGATTGTCGTTAAACTCATCCTTTTCCTTTCTTTTGGTGTACCCTTAGACAGTTAGACCCTTGCCTAGCTAGGTGTACGTATACCCCTCTCAAGAACCAATCATTTTTTTCCTCTCAATTTCGTTATTGCTTTTAAAAAAAGATGACACTCCATCCTTGACAGTCATTCAGAACGACCGGACAGTTATCAGGTGTAAAACGATTCGGTTTTGGTGAAAAGGACCATATACATATCGTACATTCATCTCACTCTAGAACTCAAAAAGGTACGCTCGATCGCTATCCAATAACCATTCTTCGGATTGGTGGTATACCATCCCAAATAAATAACCACCCTTTTCGAGGTGTTTACAGTTACGCATTAATATTTCAATTAGTTTGGTATTAAACTATACTGAGTATAAGGATTCACATATTCACATGCAACTCGTTTTTTAGAGGAATCAAATCCTAACATATTCCATTGAGGTGAATGTTCTCATATACATCTCTATATTGAAATTAAATGTGTGCTACAATAACGTATGACACAGTGATATACGCAGGCGTCCAAACTGGACTGAGTTGGATCGGTACAAGTTGTTTTGGGAAAAAATTGTTAAATCCCACACCGGAAATGTTTGAGTCAGCGAAGTGCTATATTAAGACACCGACTACTCCTCCTATCAGGTTAACCTTTTAGGATGGAACCCCAAGTCTTAACGGCTTTGATACCATGTTAAGACCCGGGGTTCCATCCTAAAAGGTCAACCTGATAGGAGGAGTAGCCGATGTCTTAATATAGCACTTCGTTGACTCAAACATTTCCGGTGTGGGATTTAACACCCCTCCTCACGACCAGGCTCTTCGTCTGGATCGTGTCGTCATTCATTTTTTTGTCAATTCGTCATTGTCATTTTTTTATAATCGTGTCAATCATTTTTCATAAGGGGGCCCACACCATGGATCAACCTGGCTCTGATACCATGTTAAGACTTGGGGTTCCATCCTAAAAGGTTAACCTGATAGGAGGAGTAGCCGATGTCTTAATATAGCATTTCGTTGAGTCAAACATTTCCGGTGTGGGATTTAACAAAATTTAACACAAAATATTATATTCCATACTATGTATTAATATTAAAGACATTTTTTATTCAAGTTGGGATGGGGCCTAGGTTAACTCCTAGGTCTTAACTATGCCCATGATTTGGAAAATTATTTGAGAAAAAATAATAGGGGTAATGAATAGTGCATAAAAAGTAAGAAAGGTGAAAATTATGAAAGAGGAGATAAAAAGTATTTTAATAAACTAAAGGTAGTTGAGTATTTTTAAAAAGAAAACTTAATAGAAAGAGAAAGTGTAGCCAAAATTAAAATGCATCCCAAAAAAGAAAGTGCAACAAACATCTCAAATGGATGGGGTATTATTATATTTAATACGAAGTATATTATAAGTAATCACATAACTTAATTATGTCATACAGCGTAAAAAATAAATAGTAATAATAAAATTTAAGAATATATACAAATATATTCTTATGACAAAGATAATGGCTTTGTGCATCTAGTTGCTTGTCCATAGTAGCACTTAATTGGTCGCCGGGGGCCGCCAAACATTTATTTTACGTTTTTATTCTAATTCTCTAAAATACATATATGCACTTTTAATTTTAATCACGGATAGCTCAAAACTTATATACCGCTAGCTCACCTACTACACACGCGTGCATCCACACACACCCCTAACTCAAAACATATCAGAAGATGGATAGTATAGCTCCAAACGGGTCTCCAAATGGATTTAATATTTTAATGAAACAATCTTGAATTCTGTAGATAGTTTAGAAAAGAAATCACGTTGTAGGATTCCTAATTGCAAAGCTATCATGCTTTTGCTTGAAGTTAATTAAAATCTTTTTAATGGTGTTTTCTTTTTAAACTTCCTGGACATTTTATTGGACACAGTTATGAGTTACGGAGTATGAATTATGAAGTCAATGACGGCTATATATCTTACGAAGTATTAATTTAGTTGTGTTCGGATTTTAATTTAGATGTTTTTGTATTGAAATTTCTGGCCTACGTGTTAGCTTGCGAAACCCGTGGATTAGGTGGATTGGGTTAGAGTTATAAAATCTCTGACCGTCGTTAAATGAGTTGGCCCACCTCAACTCGTGAAACTCATATTCTTATACGGGTCAAGTCGGGTTGGGCCAACTTCCGGGGAGGATGTAGTAACAAAGTAAGAGGAGCAGCTGCCCCCGATAAGCTTCCACTAAATCCTTGTATTTTATGATAAATTATTAAAAGATCAAGTATTTGACACAATAAAAAAACATGCCCATATAACTCTTCCTCCCCATTAGAAAATATGATTTCAGGACTCACGCACTAAACCTTATTCATCCGTATGTGTTGTTCAATGTCTACTTTTAATTTTACGTTAATATAAACAATATTGTTACTCGTATCATGTAATCATGAGATTATTGATGAACTAATGAATTATTATCATGTTATTATATATTAAACGTTTCAGCCGTTTATAAATTGCTTTTTATGTAAATTTTGAGTTCATTATTTATAAATTGTTAAAAAAAGTAATTGCTCCTGCAAAATTGGTGGACAAAAATGTAACATAGTAACGGTTGGTTACTATAATTATATTGTGTTCAAAGTTACATCATAGTAACTTCATGTAAATTACTTCGATGTAAACTTTGAACACAATTATAGTACAGAGTAATTAATAGTTACTAAATAACATTTTTGAAAATGAATTTAAGGAAAACCCCCATTCTTTAAAGGGTTAGTGATTAATGAAAAAGGTTCACATATATTACTTTGATGAATTCAAATTGATGACTAGTAAATGTCATTTAATAAAATAGTATTATATTGCCTCCGTCTCAAAAAATTCAATCATCTATAAATTTTGACCAATTATATACTTTTATTGAAAAATATTTATAATGTAAAAATGATATGAAAAATTTCTTTGTTGAAAGTATTTTCATGAAAGTACAAAACTTATGAGTTATGACTTACATAATACTACTCTAATCAAAATCATGAACCAAAATTTAAGGGAGGGCTAAGTATTTTGGAACAGAGGTAGTATGTTGTCCTAGATAGCAAAAACTAGAAATAATGATATATGTGACTAAAGTAAAGATGATTACAAAGTGTGACTTCTTGTACAATGTGACTAAAATAGTAACTTTCATTGATTATGTTTATGTTCAAGTTTACGCTATACTAGTCATGAAGTGATGCACATCGTAACTTTGGTTACTTTTTTGTCCATCAATTATATTTGACTAATTTTTTAGTAAAAAACATCTTATATAAAACATAATGATTCTCTTCCAAAATATGAGAACTCGGCAGGAACAATTGTGATGTCTTTTATTAAACTTTTGCTACAGCTATAACTTTTGCAATAATAAAGTGTACAATAGCATTTTATTGATTTTTGTTGTTCATAACTCATAAATGTTTTAATAACTCGATTTGCACCCAACAAATTTCATTCCTGGATCCGCCACTGATCGATTTGCCCGTTTGACAGCCTAGCGCCTAGGCGGGACTAGTCAGATATTTAGAACGATTTTTAGAATATTGATAAAAAATCATTCGAAATGAATTAAAGATTGTCCCCTTAAATTCCACGGAGACAAGATTTGTGTAGGAAATTATTATAAGCACCTATTGCTATTGGATTGGGGCCCAAAGTCACCTAAATTTTATAAGAAGGGAAGATCAACATATATTAAAGCATGGTATTATACTTCGCATGCGTCGTCTGGCTGGCCAGGTTTTGGGGATACCCATCCACGTGACTTGAGATATAATTATGTTTTTAAACGGGTTTAATGCACCAAATTCCCTCATGAAATATAAATTTGGCCCATTAACGTCCTATGATTTAAAAAATGCGTCAAACCCCCCGTGTTATAATCAATCATGCACAAAATCCCCTCCAAGAACAAATTTTACAATTTTAAAATCATTTATCTTAAAAATATGGTTGAATATGCATATAACTTTGTCAAAAGTTCTAAATTATACAAAAAAAACTAATCATTTTTCATTTTTTGGAAATTAAATTTGTTCTTGGAGGGGGTTTGTGCTTGATTAATTATGACACAGTGGAGTTTGATGCATTTTTTAAATCACAGGGGACTAATGCGCCGAATTTATGGCCGGGTCGGTTCACTTTCTAGAGACTCGGAGCCCGCCCCGAAAACTGACGCTTCGGGTATAGTGCACCCGGTCCGGGCCGAAACAGTACCGGGGCGGGCCGGTTATGGGCCGGTTGACCCGGCCCGAGTCCACCCCTACACAGGACCCTCTTCTTTTATGTCTGACTCAGGCGTACAAATAGTTAAGATCAGCCCTAGTTTAAAGCTTGGCTCAGGCCTGACTCATGAGTGTTTTGAACTTGAAATTGAGCTAGAACCTGGCTGCTTTCGAGCTCTAGCTGGATCCTTGTTGAGCTGAGCTTGAGTCACATGTTAATATGTAAATATGTAATATGCATGGGATCTAAGTAGGCACAGTTTATTATCATCAGCAGTTGATATGAGCTTAATTAAATACATCAACTTAGACTTCTAATCACTAAAATGATGGAAAATAAAAGAAATAAAATTTGATCTCTCCTTGTACAATAATCATTTAAAAAGCACATTGGGAGTTCTCATATATGCTTCCTGCCATACAATGTACCTGCAGCCAAATCCATGTCATAACTATGTATCACACCTCCAGGAGATGAGGATTCCAGAGACAACGAAGAAGGGCACTCATGTGATGTCAGGCAGCTTTCAGTGGAACCATCATTCCATTGCGGATTAACTGTCGGGGATGCTTCTTCACTTCCCTGGCTAGAATGACCGTTGGTGGGATAAGAAGGATACACAGATTGATTATGTGCTGTCTCTGTACCCCGTTCTTGAAAATCTTCTCCCTCATTGTCTGTGACAGAGTCTCCTATAATCTGATTTGCAAAAAGTTTGCAGGCAGCCTTAAGCAGGCTGGTAAGATACCTTCGTTGTGCATCCTCGCGAATTTGCAAGCGCTTTTCTACCTGTGTAGTAATGTAGGAATCATCTACATTGCATCGATAAGCTACTGCTGTTATGCATAAGTTTGAAAGCACCAGTACTCCCATAGTCTCATCCACTATCAAAATCAAGTAGTTACACACATTACAGTACACCATTAACTATGAAAGCTGAAAGAACATAGAATTGAGTTAAACCACGCAAAAAGATTTTATTCAATCTATTGCCTAGTTGAATCTTTTGGGATTAAGGTTTGGATGTTGTTGTATGGCCTAGTTGAACCCAAGATCATATTATCCCATCACCATCATTTTCCCTTTAATTTCCCTTGAGACTCATGCACCGTGATAGAATTCAGGATTTGATTGGGGTCACTAAAACAGGCCCACAGAATTTTGGGTCAAACCACACAAAATTTGAATTCAATCTATTAACTAATTCAACACAAAATTTTATTAATACATCATTCTCTATTTAATATTCCAATATGGGAGGCTCTAACAACTCAGTTGTGATGCATATATTATGACATTTCTATAAGGCTATAACCTAGCAAGACATTTGAAGTTTAGCTGCTCCATATTATTTTACACAAGATATTATTTTATAATCAAAGAAAGCACTTCCTATATTTCTAAATACTTTTACACTTCATAAAACTATCTCTCAATTTATTTTAGGGAAAACGTTATGTGATTTGCACTCATATATTTCTCACTCTACTAAATACATTTCATCTATACATTTTTTTAATGAGAACATTACTTCGACTATGATCAAAATATATCACATTTTTTTAAACATGATGATCTATCATTAGTTTTCCAAATAAATTCATTCTCTGAGAAATTTTTTTTGTGCCTTTTTTGTGCAATTGGTATATATTTTAGCATTTTACTCATGTTATGGAATTGCTTTTTTATCTCCATTACCAACTGATTAGGGGTTCTAATACAGAAATTAAAAAGTTATCATGTAAGGCAGAAAATTTGTGATCTAATGTTTCTTTCGTATTTTTATAATTTGTGATACAAAGAATAAAAAGTTAGGGAATTCCCTTCATTAATTGTTATTGGAATTCCATATAAGAATTGAACTGTTGGTAGAAATTAGCTCGAGAGAGAAACCGGCAGGTTCGTTAGTCTGGCTGGCCGGTCGCACGGTTGTCTACTTTGATCCCACCACTTGTAAAAGGGTGAAGTGTTCTTCGTTTAGGTACGACCCTAGGGTCTTGGTGGTCCACTGGTCCGATTACCAGCTCGAGGTCTTCCTTGTTCTAGCCGGGATGACCTCTTCGTGTGGTGCTGGAAAAGAGTGCATAGCTTCCCCGCTTCGCGAAGAGAAAAAAGTATAAACTGCTCATCAGACCGGGTAAAGGAAGATAACCAAACAGGTAGAAACCTAGCTCACTCTGTTTGTTTCCTCGTAGGTACGGCAGGTCGGAGAAACACACTTATTGCCCTGAACTTGGCGAAGGATGCTAAGTCTCGGCCTTCAACGTCTGATGCAGGTCCGTCTAATGTCGGGGAGAAGTACAAAGCTTCTCTGCCTGATCCCGGGGAGAAGCACGCAGCTTCCTAGCTTCACGAAGAGCAATTGCCCAGAAGAGCAAAGGTATAAATTGTTCCTCAGGCCGAGTGAGGAGAGATAACCCAATTAGTAGAGACTTTGCTCTCCCCATTCGTTTCCTTATAGATATGGCACGTTGGAGAAGCGCACTTGCCACCCTGATCGCAACGAAAGATGCTAAGCGACCTTCAATGTCTGACTCAGGTCCATCTGGTACTTAGGAAAAGCGCAGATCCTCCCTTTCTCGTGAAGAGCAAGAAGAGTAAGAGCATGAAGTTGATCAACAGGCCAAGTAGATAGACAGGACCTAGAGGCCTATCTCGTCTCGCGCCCCTCTCGTCAGTTGTACAGCTCCTGCTCCTAGCATCCTGTTGGTCATTAGGGTGGGACAAGCAACAAACATAGTTCCCTCCTTGATATCTTCTGAGAGCCGAGAGTATCTCAAAGCTATGATAGGAATAGATAATAAGTGAGCCTATTATTATAGATAATAATAAGTGGGCCTATAATATTAATAGAAGGGAAAGGGTTATGGGCTATAAATAGATGGGTAAATAACTAATGAGGTAGGTTGTTATTCAGTTGGCTTTTGGCTTGGAGAGTGGGCTTCTCGAACAGTCTCAAGGCTTGTATACATACTTCGATAGTTTCTCGTTCAATAAACATCCTTGATCATTTACAGTATAGTTCCTTCATTGATCTGCTACGTTTATACTGTGAAATTGTTAGTGATCTATCATTTGTATCAGAGCGTAGCTCCTGGGGATCGAAATTTAGTTGTGACTTCAGCGAAATTGTCGTTGCCAGTGGTGAATGGTCCGAACGCGAACGAAGATGGATATCCGCGTCGATAACCTGGAACGAAAACTGATGGAGGTTCAAGCGAAGATGAAGGATGAACTTCAGTCGGCGATGAACGAACAACGTTCAGCAATGGAAAATTGGGCGGCAACTTTGACGGCATCCATGGCTGCGCTGAGTGAGCAATTTCGATCCAGAGAGATCGCGCTCACCACAACAACAACCTACGCGACCTGATAATATTCTAATTCTTTCCCGAGGTAATCCAAATCACTCGCATATCCAAAATCACAGAAACCATGAGGATAACCCTCGATTTCCAGTACATACGGGTAGAAAACTTGATTTACCTGTATTTAATGGGGAAGGAGCATATAATTGGATTGTTAGAATGGAGAGGTATTTCCGCCTGAACCAGATTAATGAAGAAGAACAGGTGGAAGCTGCAGTTGTAGCGATGGAGGATCAAGCTCTAAACTGGTTTATTTGGTGGGAACACCAAACTGAAAGGAAGAATTGGGAAAATCTGAAGGCATCTATCATACGCAGGTTCTAGCCTAATTTAATTCAGAACCCATACGGACCTATGTTGAGCTTGAAACAGAGTGGAACTGTGAAGGAGTTTAGGGATGAGTTTGAAATGGTGATAACACCTCAGATTAATGTGGACATGGGGATTCTGAGAGGAATTTTTATCAATGGTTTGAAGGAGGAGATAAAGGCAGAGCTGAAACTACATAATTCAAATTCCTTAGCTGAAGTAATGGACAGGGCTCTATTGATTGAAAGTAGAAATGAAGCTATGTTCCTGAGAAGAAGAGAAAGACAAGATATCATGGAAGGAAAAGGGACCTGCTATGTCAAAATCTCAGATATGGGTGGATGGATTTAAATCAAAAGTTGGAAACTCATGGTCTACCAATACTGAGAAGAAGGCAGCTGAGAATAAAAGCAACACCACCTGGTTTAATCCCATAGGGGTGAAAGTGACAGAGATTAACCCCTCTGGGATTAGAAGGGTGGGACCACAGCTATCACAAGAGGAGTACCAGGACAGAAGCAGGAAAGGGCTGTGTTTCAAATGTGGTGAGAAGTGGAGCCGGGAACATACTTGCAAACTGAAAAACTACAAGCTTATTTTGGTTGAAGACTCAGATGGGGAAACTGGATCAGAAGAACCAGGGGTGGAAATCCATGAAGAAGAGGAGATTGTCATGGAGTCAAAATCCATGCAACTCTCACTTACGAGTAAGGAGGGTATACCATCTATGAGGGCTTTTAAAGTCAAAGGTTATCTGGATAGGGGTCAGAAGAAAGAATCAGTGGAAGTGCTCATTGACAGTGGTGCAACACATAATTTTATATCACAAAGGCTGGTCAATCAAGTGACAATACCTTACAAGATTATTTCTGGATACAAAGTTCAAATTGGCAATGGTGAGCTTATATCCAACAATGCGTGGTGTGAGAAACTGAATCTGCAGTTACAAGATACAGAAATTCAGCAAGATTTCTACATATTGAATCTGGGGGTACCGATTTAGTCTTGGGCATGGAGTGGCTGACTAATTTGGGTGATGTGGAAATAAACTTTCAGAAACAAAGTATAAAATGGAAGGTTCGGGGAGTAGTTGAGCAGATTCAAGGGGATCCACACTTGAATTCCAGTAAGATATCACTGAAAACCATGATTCAGATCTTGCAGGACACTGGTGATGGTTATTTTGGGTTTTATGAAGGAAGAGCAATCGAGATGAAAGAAGGAGAAGAATTAGAGAAAATTCTTGTAGAAGACATTGCAACAGGGGTTGATGAGCAATTTGTGGATGCAGCAGCTAAGAAATTAAATTCATCAATCATCCACCACACTGTGAATAGGATTTTTGAGAGACTACGAGCTACTTTCAGGGCAGATTCTTTTACCAACTCTGAGGCTTTAGAAGTGTTAGAGCAGACTGAAGGAATAACCTCCAAAGTAATGACAACAACAAGATTCAGGAATCACTTGGATGGAGTGAAAAGCCAAAGGTGAAGGAAGCAATGGTGAAGATCCAAGCACAGAAGCTAAGAGTCCAGAAATCAGTGAAGTACTAGGAGGGGAGAGGTGCAAGGATGAGGTGGAAGTTGAAGATCATGGTCATTTCCTATCACCCACCTTGAGGACAAGGTGGTTGTTTAGGAGGGGAGTATTGATAGGAATAGATAATAAGTGGGCCTATTATTATAGATAATAATAAGTGGGTCTATAATATTAATAGAAGAGAAAGGGTTATGGGCTATAAATAGATGGGTAAATAACTAATGAGGTAGGTTGTTATTCAGTTGGCTTTTGGCTTGGAGAGTGGGCTTCTCGAACAGTCCCAAGGCTTGTATACGTACTGTGATAGTTTCCCGTTCAATAAACATCCTTGATCATTTACAGTATAGTTCCTTCATTGATCTGCTACGTTTATACTGTGAAATTGTTAGCGATCTATCAAGCTACTGGTCTCTTCCCCTTGGTAGAGATTTCAATTCGGGCTCACATTGAGGTACGTCGCCTCACCCACCACCTTTTGTATAGTCTGAGCTTTGTCATCCCTAATACATATTTTTTGCAGAGGCTGATAGATTTGACTACATCGTTTCGTGCTATGAATGATAAGCGTGTGGATCTCCAGAATCAGGTCGATGGGTCCATCACCAGGTAGTATAGGTTCATCAACGGGCGAAGTAGAGGCTGCCCTGAAGAAGATAAATGGGTCCCGCCTGAGCTTCAATCAATTTATGATCCGCTGGAGTCCAAGTATAATCAGCTAGAGGCGTCATTCAAGGATGCAGGGCAACAAGCAGTTGTGGCGTTCAATGCCTCACCGGAGTCATCGGAGCTTGTCACTTTTAGGATGGAGGCCCGATGTTCAGGGCAAGTTCACAACTGGCTGCAGACCAAAGAGGATCGAGATTGACGCGATGAGCAGGACTTGATCTCTTTCAGGTGTGGCTAATATGATATGCAGAAGACGTTATACGAGAGGCTGACGGAGCGTCTTCCCGACTTCAACCCTGAGAAGCTTTCCTTACTTGAGATTGTGTGCGATCCCGATGAGGAGGAGGAGACTAGCGATGATGATGGTTGTGACCCTTGATCACCTCGGTTCTTCCCGGATGTTCCCGATGACCTCGAGGGCATTGTACATGGCTTTGATCATGGGAACACTCTCCATTATACTCCTGGAAAGATGCATGATCCTTAGATTGTAGACTGTAGGTTTATTACTTTAGTTTTCTGAGGAGATGGTCGATATTGTACTTTGCTTTCCAGATTTATGTTTTTGAACTGTCATTCTTTATTCATCGATTGTTTTGATGCTTGAGCTTCTAATTTATCCTTTTAGTTTTCCGTGCATTTTTTTTGAACTCTCATTCTTCTAAGGTAATGCGAGAGTTTGTGCCCCCGATCCCCTCTCCTACATTCGATTGTCTGACCGTTGGCCGAACAGCTTGCACATTCGTCGATCTTAGATCGACAGTGTGCGAGTCAGCCCGCCTTATAGCCTTACCAAGCAGGGCGCGGTCAAGGTTGGCCTAGATGGACGCCAGATCTCCGAATAGTTCTCTAAGTATTCTTGCACGAAACATAGCTAAGTAAATTGGCAGGACAAACAATTTACACATACAAGCTCAAACATCGAAACAATCTATGAATAAAGAATGAGAGTTCAAAAACATAAGTCCACGGAGCAGAGTAAAGTATCAAGCATCTCCTCAGAAAAGTAAAGTAAAAAAGCTACGATCTACAATCTAAGGATCCAACATCTTCTCATGAGCATCATGGACAATGCTTCCGAGATCAAAGCCGTGTATAACTCCCTCCACATCATCGGGAGCATCCGGGAAGAACCTAGGTGACCAAGGGTCGCAGTCATCATCATCGCTAGTCTTCTCCGCATTGTTAGGATAAAAACACGATCTCGGGTAAGCCAAGCTTCTTGGGGTCGAAGTCGGGACGACGCTCCAGCCTCTCATACAACATCTTCTGCATATCATATCGGTCACACTTGAAAGAGATCAAATCCTGCTCATCGCGCCAATCTCGACCCTCCTTGGTCAGCAGCCAGTTGTGAACTTGCCCTGAACATCGGGCCGCCATCCTAGAAGTGACAAACTCTGATAACTCCAGGGAGGCCTTGAATGCCACAATTTCTTGTTCCCCTATATTCTTGAATGACGCCTCTAGCTCGTTATACTTGGACTCCAAGTGATCATACTTTGACTGAAGCTCAGACGGGACCTTCGTATCTTCTTCATGATGAGTTACGTGTATCTTCAGGGCAACCTCTGCTACGTCCGCCCGTTGCTGAACCTAGACTGCCTAGTGAACGGTCCCACCGATCTAACACCGGAGATTCACATGCTTATCAATCATAGCACGAAACGATGTAGTCAAATTCATCAATCCCTGCAAAAAATATGTGTTAAGGATGACAAAGCTGAGACAATACCAAAGGTGGAGTGTGAGGCGAGCCACCTCAGTATGAACCTGAATGGAGTGCTCTACGGATGGGAAGAGATCGGTAGTTCTCAGATACTCCCGGCTCTCAAAAGATATCAAGGAGGGAACTATGATTGCTATTTGTCCCACCTTAGTGACCAACGGGATGCTAACAGCGGGATGCTAAACAATTGACGAGAGGGGCGAGGGGGCCTCTATTGGTCGGGTCCAATCTCTTGCCTGATGGTAAGATTCAGGCCCTACTCTTCTTAATGACTTGCGCTTCGCGAGAAGGGGAGAATCTACGCTTTTCCTGAATACCAGATGGAATTGAGTCAGACGTCGAAGGTCGAGACTTGGCATCTTTTGTCGCGGCTAGGGCAGCAAGTGCGCTTCTCCGACCTTTCATATTTGCAAGAAAACGAAAGGGGAGAGCTAAGTGTCTACTGATTGGGTTATCTTCCCTTACTCGGCTTGAGGAGCAGTTTACACATTTGCTTTTCTTGGCAAGTTGCTCATCGTGAAGTTGGGAAGTTGTGTGCTTCTCCCCTGCATCAGACAGAGAAGCTCTAGGCTTCTCCTCGACATTAGACGGACCTGCATCAGACGTCGAAGGCCGAGACTTAGCATCTTTCGTCATGTCTATGGTAGCTAGTGCGTTTCTCTAACTTACCGTAGCTACGAGGAAATGAAAAGAGTGAGCTAGGTTTCTACCGGTTGGATTATCTCCCTTACCCGACCTGATGAACTGTTTATACCTTTGTTCTTCTTGGCAGGTTGCTCTTCGTGAAGTGGGCAAGTTGTGCGCTTTTCCCCAGCACCAGACGGAGAAGCTCTGATCTTCTCCCCTACATTAGATGGACCTGCGTCAGACGTAGAAGGCCGAGATTTAGCATCCTGTCCAAATATGAAGTGATCGAGAAGGGACTCCCCTGGAACAGAGTATCGATCTCCCTCTGGAGGTTAGGGTGATGGAGACAAGTTGGTGCTTGCACGCCTAGGTAATGGGAGACGTAGTGGGATCAGAGGCCCATACCCATTTGCTATGTCAATTATTTTTATCGGGGTATTTTTATAACAACTTGTTCAAATGCGCGATAGTGGGTGATAGAACAACGATCATTAATGAGCAATAAGATCAAATTCAAGGCTCGTTAGAGCATCTTCAATGCTAAAATGTTAACGGTGCATACGTGGCAAGAGAGATAGCCAATGAAAAAACAATAAACAGAACATCTCTCTCCTTATTTGAAGGATCTTATATCATTTTGGTAAGTTTTTCTTCACAATGTCAAGCACAATGTCTAGATGTAGGCATTGTGGTTGACATTGCAGGGAAAAACTTGCCAAAAACACATAAGACCGTGGAAAAAAGGAGAGAGAAATGTCATAAAATCAATCTTTTGTGTGTATCTCTCTCATGTCACATGTGCACCGTGCACATTGTAGCATTGAAGATGCTCTTAATGACCAGCCGGCCAGACCAACAACCGGGCCGATTCCAAAACAACTCAACTACTCCCTTTTAGCCGAGTCTATTACTCGACTAAGGGAGTGGGGGACCCGTGTTGGGATATTACACCCAGGCTTTGGCCCGACCAAGCTCAAAACACGGTCTGACTAGCATAAATTGGTCCGACATTATTTAATTATTAGTTTGGCCGGATGGCCCATTAGGGACAATGTTAATTCTTGAATAAGGTCAAGCCCGCGTAGCACTTAATTAGTGAGCCTCTTATAAACGCCTATAAATAGGTCATCAACACATTGTATTCAGGACGCCATTTTCATTATACTGAATTGGTGCTAGTTCCTCTACCCAACATGAACGATTTTCTTCTTGCATAAAAAAGGTAATGGGGGCACTTCTTAGTTTATATTGGGGCACTAACTTAGATACAACTTATTAGTAAAACTTTTTTAAATTATTTTGGGAAGTCATTGGGGGCATGTGTCCCCATTAATCTATAATAACTACATACGCCCCTGACTAAGTAGTTAATGTATTAGCAAAAAACAATTTTACTAAGTTTGGACTGGAGATATTACTCTCACTATATAATGAAGTATTATTACCTCAACATATAAGCAATGAATTCAGCACTCAACAAAATCCCATCCCTCATTACACCTTCTCTAAATAAATGGCCTTTGGCATTTTGCTAATACCTAAGTTGTGTCTAGAGCCCAATTATGAGGGGGAAAACGAGTTGAAGTAAATCAGATGCTTCAAAACAGTGAAAGAAGCTTACTTCAACTTGTAGGTGCAATTTACTTTGAACTTCCATCTGAACTCTCAAAGCTTCCTTTACTCCGTAACCCCTGAAATCCGATGTCAATCCTTGAATTCAAAGCCTTTACTAAAATTTTAGCGATTTACCTACTATGAATTTCACAGTAGGGAAGAAAACAATGAAGTCTTACTCATTTCTGTCTGGAGCGAGAAGGTTTGGAGGAGCAGGACTTTCTAAAGGGTATGCAGTTGAAAGCCCTTTCAGTCAGCAAGAAAAGATGTCAGTTAAAGGTTAAAACAGCAAATAAAAAGAAAAAAATCACATGTTCTTCATGTGATTCTTTCAGTATCAACTTTGTGTGTCCAACTTCCAACACAAACTTATCACTACATCAATTCAATAAGACAGCTAGGCCTCTCTGATAGTATACTATGAATCTGATAGAAGAAGAAAACCTAGCAAACGATAACGTCTGCCCTAGCCGTAAGCTTAACCAAAAGTTTATTAACGATAATAGTTCTTAAGACATCCTTAAATACTCCTTAACCTAATAATAAAATAAGGCCATCTAGGCCCAACAGTTTATTAGAAATAACAATTAATGAAATAAAGTAATAACACTCAGCAGTCAACCCAGCCCATCTAGGCCCGCTGGCGGCGACGGTAGACCAATAACGGCCGAGGCCCGTCCTCCTGCACCGGCCCACTTGTCTGGTGCTCCCAAGCAGGCCCACTTATCTCGTGCTCCCTAACAATTTCCTCCCCCTCCGAAGCAACCTTGTCCCCAAGGTTGAAGTGAGGGAACTGCTGCCGAAACTGCTGCACTCCAACCCAAGTAGCGTCATCTTCTGACTGACCAACCCACTGCACCAACACCTGCTCCACATCTTCCCCTTTTTCCTGCACCTTACACCATGCCAAAACAGTAGCAGGTTCGAACACCGGCCCCATAGGAACCTCCAAACTCTCCGGTAGTTCTGTTTCAATGGGATGATCTCCGACAACCCGGCGTAGTTGCGACACATGGAAAACAGGGTGGATTCGGCTGGTTGCTGGAAGCGACAACCGGTAGGCCGCTGGGCTCACACGCCCTTCAACCAAAAATGGACCATAGAACTTGGCTGAGAGTTTGTGATGAGATTGTTGCGCTAGAGAATTCTGCCGATACCGTCGTACTTTCAGGAAAACACAGTCCCCAACCTCAAACACCACCCGCCTTCGCTTATTTGCATGTTTAACCATTTGTTGTTGCGCCTTTTCCAGGTTACCTCGCAAACGCCGCAACATCTCGTCCCGACCCCCAAGAAAATCTGCCACAGCCGCTACTCGACACTCACCCGGCAAGAATCGCTGTAAAGATGGAGGTGGCCTTCCATACACCACTTTGAAAGGGGTCATTCCGGCTGCAGTTTGGTAAGCGGTATTGTACCAATATTCTGCCCAGGTAACCAACGAAGCCACTTCTTCGGCTGGTCACACGTAAAACAGCGAAGATATGTCTCTAATACATGATTCAGCACTTCCGTTTGGCCATCCGTTTCAGGATGGTATGCGGAGCTGTACTTCAAGTGAGTACCCGACTGCTTTAACACTTCTTTCCAAAAGGAATACCATGCAACCGAACAATCTCCCGTACAAAAATATCAGCCACAGACCGAGCTGTAATTGGAGGTTTTAATGCAATGAAATGTCCATATTTGGACAGCCTATCCATCACCACCATAACACTCGTATACCCTTGAGATTTGGGTAAACAAGTAATAAAATCCATGGCCACGTCCTCCCAAACTAAGTCTGGAATTGGTAGCGGTTGTAGTAATCCTATTGGCGACATTGCTTCATATTTTGATTTCTGGAAGACCAAACATTTGGCCACATACTCCTGCACCTGACGGAACATGCTCTTCCAATACACACTGCTTGCTAATAGCCGATACGTCCTGAGAGCCCCTGCATGGCCCCCCTCCGGTGTGTCATGAAATTCTTGCAATAGTGTTGGAATCCACTCAGAAGTGGCTGCCAGCACCAACCTCCCTTTAAAAAACAGTCTGCCCTCAATTATTTCGAACCCCACCCGGCTGTCCGGGTCAGTCTTCAAGGCAGTCACAATGCTTTGAATGAACTCATCATGCCCTTGTTCCTCCAACACCTCCCGTATCCCTGCCCAATCCGGCACACTCAGTGTTGTCAGCGACCCCTCCTCAGCCCTTCTAGATCATCAGCCGCCGAATTGGAGAATCCCGGTTTATACTCAATTTAGAAATCATACCCCAGTAATTTAGCCACCCAATTTTGCTGCGAGGGAGTCACAATTTTTTGCGAGAGAAGATGTTTGAGGCTTTGGTGATCGGTGCGGACCGTAAAACGACGACCCATGAGATATGGCCGCCAATGTTGGATTGCCAATACCAACCCATTAATTCACGTTCATAGGCTGATTTGGTAAGGGTGCGATCAGCCAATGATTTACTGAAATAAGCAAGCGGATGTCCTTCTTGCATCAAGACTGCCCCTACTCCCATACCTGAAGCATCGCACTCAATCACAAAGTGACGTTTGAAATCCGGCATGGCCAAAATTGGCGCTTCAGTCAGCGCGCTCTTCAAGCTAGTGAAAGCAGTTGCTGCCTCTTTATTCCATTCAAATCTGGATGGTGCGTCTTTCTTGAATAAGGTTGTCAGAGGCCGCGCTATGATTCCATAATCTTTGACAAAACGACGGTAATAACCCGCCAACCCCAAAAAACCGCGCACATCCCGAACAGAACGCGATTGTGGCCACTCGAGTACTGCACGAACTTTAGAAGGGTCCATCACCACGCCTGCCGCTGAAATGATGTGGCCAAGGTACTCTACCTTGGACCCCCCAAAGACACACTTCTTTCTGTTGACCTTGAACTAATTCTGGTGCAAAATATGCAGCGCCTGTTTAAGTGCACACGATGCTAAGCTACTGTCTGACTGTGGATTAAGATATCATCGAAGAATATCAAGACAAATTTTCGTAAGAACGGCCAGAACAGATTATTCATCGTGGACTGGAAGGTGGCCGGTGCGTTCGTTAACCCAAACGGTATCACTAGAAACTCGCAGTGGCCGCTATGAGTACGAAAAGCCGTTTTCGAAATATCTCGTTCAGCCACTCGTATTTGATGATAACCGGCTCGGAGATCAAGTTTTGAAAAAATTACGGCTCCCGATAATTCATCCAACATCTCCTGGATTACTGGAATCGGGTACTTGTCTGGAACAGTCACCTTATTTAATTCTCTAAAGTCCACACAGAATCGTCAGCTGCCGTCTTTCTTTTTAACTAAGAGAATCGGGTGACGTGCACTTTATCGCGATGTGCACTCAAAGTAAATACAATACAACAAATATACGTAGTATATTGAAGTAAGGTTCGTATCCACAGGGAAAGGAATATTTATCTTTTATGTAACTAGTAACAAGGGGGGATTTTATGATTGTTGATAAACTTAAATGTATTTAAGCACTAAGATGAATGACTCATGTAGATTACTTTAGTAAAGATGAGGACTTGGTTTTGCTTTTATCTACTAAATGAAATGTTCATCGATCTCGTTTATATCTTTAACTATCTTCCTCTCGAATACTCAATCGAGGAGTATATCCAGTTCATCGAGGGTAGTTATTGATAACGAAACGCGTTCATTAATAAAACTACCGAGTTAATATAGAACACGCGCCGTATATCAACCCGATAGTACCAATAAAATCAAGATGAAAACGATTGAGATTAATAACCTCAACACAAGGGATTTACTGGTTTAATCAACAAAATTAATTCCCCTTAGATTATTAACCATGAGACGCATGCATTAATAATCCAAGTTTAGTACCGTGAATGAACCGAATTAATAACAAGCGTATTAATCGATTGATTCTAGTAATAATTAATATATGAAACAAAAGTAGTTGATCCCTTAAGTAATGCTCAAAATATTAATATGAGATATGAATAGGAAATAATTAATATTCAAGAAAGAAGATTAAAGAAAATAACTCACAACTTACCAATTCATTAAGTTTCAAAGTAGCAAAACCAAGATGGAAAAATTTAGCTCCTCATTTGAAGACTAAACATGATAAAAATTGAAAGAAAGAACTATTCTAGACTGAGCTTAAAAGTATATGTGAATTGGTGATCTAATTGTGAAGGGAAGGGGGTGTATTTATAGGATTTTAGGAATGCAGTTCGGGTACCTGATCGGGTATATACACGGTACCCGACCGGGTATATGTAAAACGTCAGATTCGAGGTATACTCGATCGAATTCGGGGTTAAAATCGAAGGCATACCCGATCGGGTGTGTCGGTGTACCCGATCGGGTATAGACACTCAATCGTGGTCAAAATCTTCCCTGCATGTTCCTTTATCTTCGGATCCGATCCGATTTGAAATTTCAACAAGATACCCGATGGGGTATAGGTCATACCCGACCGGGTATAGACCAAAAATAAGGATTTTCATTTTGTTTTGTGATTTTGCACCTTCCTTCTACTTTTGGAGTTCACCAATTGTACTTTGAGTGATCATAGACCTGTTTGAGCTCAGAATAAACCTAATCTAAACAAATTACAAGTATTTAACAAACTAAACTATTACACCAAAAGTGTGTAATTTTCAAAGTAGAAATCAATCAAAACTAATTAAAAATACAAATATAAACATGGAAATTACAGACGTATCAACTCCCCCACACATAGTTCTTTACTCGACCTCGAGTAAAGTAAAATGTTCCAAATAGTCTAAGAATTTTCCATGAATTCAAGAAAGAAAAAACATAAAAACCACCAAGGAATCATAAATGTTTTTACAAAGATAACATTCTTCTTGGGTTTTTCGGTCTTTTATGCTCAATCTTCTTTCCTCTTTCTCTTCTTCTTTTTCTTCCCTCCTCTTTCCCAAAGAGATCAAATGAGGTCCTACAAAAACAAATATTTCTCTGATTTCGCCTAGGAGCCTTTTCAGGTTTTCATCCTACCATCTCTTTTTATTTTCCATTCTCCCCAACTCACTCATTTTTTTATAAGCCCTTTTTGCTTAGATTGCCCATTTTTTTGGGTTTTCAACTTAACTAGCATTTCTTTTTCTCTTTTTTTTTGTTTACAAAGGGTAAAAGAAATTCATGCGTAGTGAAAGGTAGAAAATAAAATTACATACCATGAGGCAAAATGAGAGAAATGAAAGAAATATTTGTTTTTGTAGGACCTCATTTGATCTATTTGGGGAAGAGGAGGGAAGAAGAAGAAGAAGAAGAAGAAGAAGAAGAAGAGAAAGAGGAAAGAAGATTGAGCATAAAAGACCGAAAAACCCAAGAAGAATGTTATCTTTGTAAAAACATTTATGATTCCTCGGTGGTTTTTATGTTCTTTCTTTCTTGAACTCATGGAAAACTCTTAGACTATTTGGAACATTTTACTTTACTCGAGGTCGAGTAAAGAATTATGTGTGGGTGAGTTGATACGTATGTAATTTCCATGTTTATGTTTGTATTTTTTATTAGCTTTGATTGATTTCTACCTTGGAAATTACACACTTTTGGTGTAATAGTTTAGTTTGTTAAATACATGTAAATTGTTTAGATTAGGTTTATTCTAAGCTCAAACAGGTCTATGATCACTCAAAAGACAGTTGGTGAACCCCAAAAGTGGAAGGAAGGTGCAAAATCACAAGACAAAATGAAGATCCTGATTTTTGGTCTATACCCGGTCAGGTATACCCGATCGGGTATCTTGTTGAAATTTCAAATCGGATCGGATCCGAAGACAAAGGAACATGCAGGGAAGATTTTGACCACGATCGAGTGTCTATACCCGATCGGGTATGCCTTCGATTTTAACCCCGAATTCGATCGAGTATACCTCGAATCTGACGTTTTACACATACCCGGTCGGGTACCATGTATATACCCGATCGGGTACCCGAACTGCATTCCCAAAATCCTATAAATACACCCTTTCCCTTCACAATTAAATCACCAATTCACATATACTTCTAAGCTCAGTCTAGAATAGTTCTTTCTTTCTATTTTCATCATGTTTAGTCTCCAAATGAGGAGCTAAACTCTTCCATCTTGGTTTTGCTACTTTGAAGCTTATTGAATTTGTAAGTTGTGAGTTATTTTCTTTAATCTTGTTCCTTGAATATTAATTATTTCGTATTCATATCTCATATTAATATTTTGAGCATTACTTAAAGGATTAACTAGTTTTGTTTCATATATTAATTAGAACTAGAATCAATCGATTAATACGCTTTTTATTAATTCGGTTAATTCACGGTATTAAACTCGGATTATTAATGCATGTGTCTCATGGTTAATAATCTAAGGGGAATTAATTATGTTGATTAACCCAATAACACAAACGGTTTATATATCGTGAATATAACCTCAACACAAGCGGTTTATTGGTTTAATCAACATAATTAATTCCCCTTAGATTATTAACCATGAGACGCATGCATTAATAATCCAAATTTACTACCGTGAATGAACCGAATTGATAACAAGCGTATTAATCGATTGATTCTAGTAATAATTAATATATATTAATATATGAAACAAAACGAGTTGATCATTTAAGTAATGCTCAAAATATTAATATGAGATATGAATAGGAAATAATTAATATTCAAGGAAGAAGATTAAAGAAAATAACTCACAACTTACAAATTCATTAAGCTTCAAAGTAGCAAAACCAAGATGGAAGAGTTTAGCTCCTCATTTGGAGACTAAACGTGATGAAAATAGAAAGAAAGAACTATTCTAGACTGAGCTTAGAAGTATATGTGAATTGGTGATCTAATTGTGAAGGGAAGGGGGTGTATTTATAGGATTTTGGGAATGCAGTTCGGGTACCCGATCGGGTATATACACGGTACCCGACCGGGTATGTGTAAAACGTCAGATTCGAGGTATACTCGATCGAATTCGGGGTTAAAATCGAAGGCATACCTGATCGGGTGTATCGATGTACCCGATCGGGTATAGACACTCGATCGTGGTCAAAATTTCCCCTGCATGTTCCTTTGTCTTCGGATCCGATCCGATTTGAAATTTCAACAAGATACCCGATGGGGTATAGGTCATACCCGACCGGGTATAGACCAAAAATAAGGATTTTCATTTTGTCTTGTGATTTTGCACCTTCCTTCCACTTTTGGGGTTCACCAACTGTCCTTTGAGTGATCATAAACCTGTTTGAGCTCAGAATAAACCTAATCTAAACAATTTACAAGTATTTAACAAACTAAACTATTACACCAAAAGTGTGTAATTTCCAAGGTAGAAATCAATCAAAGCTAATTAAAAATACAAACATAAACATGGAAATTACAGACGTATCACCGGGCTTGAGAACGTGCTGCAACTTGGCCTGATGGCCGGACAGATGCCGGGGCTGCTCCGGGTGCCAACTCAATCCGGTAGTACATTAGCCATTTGCTCCTCGTTTGGCCTCAATATCGTAGTGGGCTCTCTCTCCATCACAATCGCCCAAAATTCCACATCCCTTGTCTGAAGTAGGGTCTGCAGTCCCACCTATTTCCGGTAGAGTGCCGGGTCCCCTTTCAGTTTTACCCGACTGCCCTGCCAATCAAAGGACATAGTCATCATATCCCAGTTGGTCTGGACCTCTACCAAGGTTGCTAGCCATGCTACTACCAGTATAATATCCACTCCTCCCAACGGAAACACGTAACAATCTGCCTGAATTTGGCACCCCTGCAGTGAGATTGATACCCCTTTGCAAACCCCTTCCGATTCTTGGCGACGCTCGTCCCCTAGCTGTACACCGAACTTTCCCGTCTTTTCTGCCCGTAATTTGAGTTGGGAAACAAGGGCCGTTGAAATAAAGTTGTGACTTGCGCCACTATCCACCAAGATGCTCACTGTTAACCCCTCGGTTACGCCTTTGAGTCGCATAGTACGGGGATTAGAAATCCCTGCCATGGAATATACGGGCAAGTCCAAAGCTGCTGCCTGTTGTTCCTCCTATTCGCCTAGCTGCTCGACCTATTCGGGTGGAATAAAAAATTCAGTTTGGCTGAGGTCGAGTTCCTCATCTTCCTCCGCGACCATTACTCTTAACTGTTTTAGCGGACATTCATGCCCGGGGATGTAGGCCTTCTTGCAACGGAAACAAAGCCCTTTCGCGCGCAGATTTGCCAACTCCTGTGGTGAGAGGCGTGTGAACCGAGAGCGATTAACAGACTGGCCCGTCATTGCTGATCCGGTTCCCGGTCTACGACTTGGAGATCGTGAGGACGCTGTGCTTCCCCCTACCCCTTGGTTGCCAATATTCGGGGTGGAAGAAGACCCCAAAAACCCGCCAACCTTGTTGTAACTACTGGAACGGTACTGCTGACTGTTGTAACCCTGTTCCACTCTCCCTCTGGACTGAACGGTCAAGTTGTCCTCGACATCCTTGGCCAACTCCATAGCGGCTTCCCGATCAGCTGGTCGTAAAAGTCGTAAGGAGCTACGAATCGTGTCTCGCAGCCCTTTCATGAAGTACCCCAAGTAGTGGACATCACTCAAACCTAGTACCTGACTGGTCAGTTGAACAAACACGTTTACATAATCATCCACATACCCCGTCTGCTTGATGTTGGCCAACCGTTCGAATGTGCTCCCCTTAAACCGTGTATCAAAACGGGCCACAAGAGCTTGTGAAAACTCCTCCCATGTGATATTCGGTTTCCGCGAACGTGTCCAAGAGAACCAATACAGAGCGGGACCCTCCATTGCAACCATAGCAGACGCCACCTTCAATTCAGGACGGGACTGATGGATTTCAAACTGCTGATTGGCCCTGGCGAGCCATCCAATCGGGTCTGCTCCCTCAAACGTTGGTAGCGTCAGAGGCGCGGTCACAGACCTAGGGTTGTGGGAGTTCTACGAGTAATCTGTGCCTCCTCCTCCCGACTCAGAATCAGCCAGCGGTTCCCCCGATGCCATAACCTTCTGCGCCAGTTTGTCTAGGGTTTGTGTGATAGCATCCAACGTGGCGTTGGTGGATTGCACTTCTGCCCTGATGTCCTTCTGGTCCGCTTCTATCGCATCCATGCGTTGATCAATGGTGGAACGAGTCATGATGAACGCAGGGCGGTGGATAGGATCCGGCAGGTCGGACCAAATTGATAGAAGCATAAAACCTAGCAAACGATAACAACGTCTGCCCTAGCCGTAAGCTTAACCAAAAGTTTATTAACGATAATAGTTCTTAAGACATCCTTAAATACTCCTTGAGCTAATGATAAAATAAGGCCATCTAGGCCCAAGAGTTTATTAGAAATAACAATTAATGAAATAAAGTAATAAGACCCAACAGTCAACCCAACCCATCTAGGCTTGCTGGCGGCGACGGTAGACCAATAACGGCCGAGGCCCGTCCTCCTGCACCGGCCCACTTGTCTGGTGCTCCCAAGCAGGCCCACTTATCTCGTGCTCCCTAAAAGAATCTGAGCTCACCAAACATATTGAGCCTCGAGACTTTTCAAATTATCTTTCTCTGAGAAGGTGGCAGGACTTAGATTTTCTCATATTCCAATGTTCTTTCTCAGTGTTATATTTTCTTACTTATTTACTTGAAGTCTTGAAGCGGCAGGGTCCATGCAATTTTCGACGCGATTTTCAACATGGGTCATCCGGGAACAGTTTCTCTGTGCTTAGTATAGGGGTAAGGTTGCGTACATCCGACCCCCCTACCGTAGGTGGGAGCCTTTGCGGCACTGGGGTAATGATGATGATGATGATTTACTTGAAGTCTTGAAGCATGCAAAGACATATGCTGATTACATGTAATGCAGACACATATTCGTGTTGGTTTCAAGAAACTAGGGTAATGTTATGCTTAAATATGCATGTAAAGGGGCTTGAGGGTATTTTTAAAATTAAAACGCCTATCATCTGTGGAAACCTCACAAAATATCTTTCTGAGATTGCTTACCTAGCCTGTATTTCTGCAAAAAAAAAACAGAAGGCCATATTAATACGTTTACTTTTTCCCTCTAATTTCCTCTATATTTACCAAGGTGGCAAGGTGTTGATAGAAGAAAAAAACTAGCAAACTAAAACATACCTGGAGGTGACTCTTCAAATGGAAGAGAGTAAGTCCATTTACACTCATCGTGCGCAGGATGGCCTTTGGAGTAGCTTCTGCAAGCAGATAGACAAACAAATGAAGAGGGCACTCCACAAGTCCACATTGTTCAAAGTTCCATTATGTTTACTGAAATGATGCAAATAGTGCATCTAAATAGAAACTCCTTCCACTCAATGAGATTAAGTTTGATCTCTTGTATTTTCCTAGTTGTTACTCTGAGTCCACAGTGTTAAGATATGATTATATGAATGCCCTAAAAGGCTAAAACGCTAAGTCTATATCTGTTGCAAAAAGTTGTGCATGTTGTTGACTAGTTGTCCATGTGAATTCTTTAGTGTTCACTCCACATCCTCTTTGAAGGTATACTAGAGAAATTTCCCTTATAAATTACTCCACACTAATTAAATACCTATTGAACGGATTCAATATTTTTTATTTTTGGAAAAATAAAACTACTAATCTGTAGGTAGTTAATATTGGTAATTGGTCATGACATTCGTAGCTACATTGATAACATTTTTGTCTTAAAATTAAAAAATAACAATTTATTCTAATGGGTAGTTGCTGAGTGATGTTTAAGGAATTTTTCCTACTTATTAGCATACTGAGATTGTTTTTTTGAGGCACTGGGGTAAATGGAAATGAAAAAAAAATTAGCATATGATCATCACGAAGATACAATCTATGCATGCTGATCCACCCCACTTTTTATTCATACCATTATATATTGTTGGAGAAGGTTCTTCTACGAATTCATCAAAGTAAGATTTTCCAATCCAGGACCCACGAGATATGCCAGGATTTGGAAGATTAAATTGTCACTTCTGGGCACGAATGGTTGAAAACTGACGATCTAAGACTTATAATATCTTGGTTTTTTATTTTATGTATTACAATTAATTCTAATATAGTTTAACTTTTACAAACACATAAATATATAAAATTTTTGTGAAGGAAAATTCATTGCACATTAACATAGAGAAATTTTAAGAAGTCAAAATTTATGATATTTTAATCTCATTGATTTCTTTCAATCATTCGACCATAAATTACCATTTTCTCGATGAATTTTCCTTGAATAACTTTGTTAAAATGTTTTGTAGGTCGTTGATTGAATATATTTTCCATTCTATAAATCCATAACCACTTTGATAACTCGACACAAGTCAATCACAGCAAGGCTGCAACATTCATACCTTTCTTGGCTTCTGCTATTTACGTAGATATAGTTTCTGCTCAAAATACAAATTCCAAGAATATTCTTTTTTTTTTAACAATAAGAATATTCTTTATTACACTGGTTTAACATTTTATTCACATGAAGTTTCGAAAATGTACAAGACTCTACCTGCTACTTAAGGATAAAAATTATATCTTGGTTGGATGTGATATGATAAAAGTCCAAAACTGCTCAGTATCAACCCGGATGTCACTAAGAAACTTAGTAGAAACATGCATTTTCATCAATTAGATTCAAGCATTAGAAGTCTACAGACAGGGTATAACTTATTCCCTTAATATACGCTCTGCCCCATATTTATATCCCACTCTTCTTCTTTGGATTTCCCAAAATCTTATCAATATTCTTCCCATTTCCTCTTAATGAATGGTTCATGTGGGTAACATTCTCCCCCTTTTAATACATTAATTACAAATAGACAACTCCACTTTCTCAATAAAGGTGGAAAGTCAAAGTTGGAAGAAATTTTGGGAGCCAGAAATTTTGGGATGAAGTTGACCGAAAATGCAATTAAAACTGGAGTTTTTAGGTACAGTGAGAAGGGTACTGACTGCTAGGGCCGCCGAGCTGAGTAATGGCGTCTACAAAACGGTCGTGGAGGTCGGTGGTCCAGCGGAGGCGCGGCCTTGAATCGGAAGTGAGGACCAGACATGAGTCGCCGGCACCGTCAACCATGTTGGTCTGAGTTCTACCATTACTGCACTCGACCAATCTTGGAAACATCTTATGTCTCTTCTGCTTTGATATGATAGTTCGACAAAAAAGTAGAATACGAAAACTTTCAGTCCTCCCATTGACCCATGAACAGTGTGGCAAGTGATATGATGTACTATCCGCACCATATTCAAGGCGATACAAGCAAAATAAAGCGGAAGCACAAATTCTTAAAACAAAAACTGTTTTGACCGGCACGAATTAATAAAACAAAAAATGTTTTGTTGACGTTTGTGTATAGGAGAAAGAATTAAACGGAAGCACAAATTTTTTAATGAAAAAAGAAAGTATCAAAGTTAGTGTGACATACAAAAAAGGAAATTTGGCAAAGTTTTAAGCGACGAAAGAACTATTATTTATGTTAAAAGAAATTAGTATACCGTCTTTTTGGAAGAAAATGATTTATACTCTCTCCGTCCCAAAAACAACTTCTCAGTTTGACTAGCACACACATTTAGGTAGATTAAAATTTTGGTTTGACTTTCTCAAAATTTTACTGTTTGGACACTGTTTGGACACTGTTTAGCACTGTTTGTCACTGTTTGACACTGTTTTGATGTTGATAATTTGCCAAATAAGGAAGTGAGAAGAAGTGTGAAGTTAATTTTGGGACATCCATTTAAGGAAAGTGAGAAGTTGTTTTTGGGACGGAGGGAGTATTGAATAATCAGAATTCAAACAAGGTAAAAGATAAAAATACTTTTTCTGACTGTCTGTCCTTGAACAAGGCTTAGAGACTATCACCTCCATAAATGACTCATCGATTCTATAATGGGCTTAATGGAGCTAATGCCGTACACAATAAATGTTTCATCACTCAACCTAAATTCTAGAATTCTACTAGTGGAAATAAAGAAAGCAACCAAAACAACATTCAGTTCGAACCACAAATAAAAATAAGAGCAAGATAATTAAAACAAATCCAAACTTGAAACAAAAAATTCCAAACCCTAAGCAGCTGAAGACGAACCTGCGAACAAACACAAAGCATGCGTGATGCCAAGTTTGAAATTCTCAAGCCGCACAAGTTTAGAACGGCTAGCGAAAAACTAAACCCTACGTGAGTGAAAGGCCACACAAACGCAGAGAGAACTTTTTTATAGAGTTTGAATATATCACTTAAAAGAAATAAATGTTGATATTAAAACACTTGTTAGTAATAAAATTGAGTATTGGAAGTAAGCAAATGAGTTTCATGATCTTCATATAATATATATGCTATAAATCAATTTATTCATTTAACTATATTATCATCGTATTATAATTAAAATATTTATTGTGCTAATATTATAATTTTAATACCAATACTCATTTTTTAAACAGAATGCTCATTTCTTTTAACATAAAATACTTAGTTGTACGGTGTGCACGGTACATCCAGTTGTACGATATATTTTGCTCCTCTTTTCGGCTTATTATGATCTAATTTTTATTTTTTAGTTGGAGCACTCAATTGTGTAATAATAAAAAATTAGAGTTACTATTTTAACTGAATTGATGGAAATTATCGAAGAAGAGCATTTTAGTTATTTATATACAACTTTATATCTATGTAATTAATTACTAAAATATATTTAAATATAAATTTTCATAATTGAATTAGTTTAGCAATAATTTCATCAAGTTCAATTGAATAAGACCATTTTTCAAATTTTAGTATTACCAACATCAAATTTCAATATTACCAAACAAGCTCCAAGAAGGTCATACAGTTGAAATTGTGAATTATAATAAAAGAGAAATTATGATCACCCCGTTTAAATTTGGTCATATATATTAGTTTAGCCTTGTATTTATAAACGTCAATTGTATACCCCTGAGCTTTGTTTTTTTGTTGAATCCCCCTTATGTTAATTTTAGGCATTTGGTTGTTAGTTATGACTTATGAGATGAATTGTCTAATACGTCCTCTATTTAAATTGAATCGTGTTGTAAATTCCTGAGAATAACATGTATGAATTGTTCATCCTTGTCATCAGGACACTAATCCAATTCCAATCCTTGTAATAGACAGATGGCTAAGTTTAATGTTGCCAACAGATTTTGTAGAATCATTCTTTGATGATTCATCTCCTGGCCAACTAGTATAAATAGGATGATCAATCCTTTGTAAATGTAACTTAGAAATTCAAAAAATCTTTACATTAAGAAGAAGTAAAATATCCAGAGGTTATAATCTTTATATCTTTCACATATCTATACTTCATCTTCTTCATTTCATAATACGTTATCAGCATGAATCTGCTCAAAATCTTCAAGAAATCATCATCTCCTGCATATATGGATCACTCAAATGATAAAGAACTATGTCTGATAGACAACGCTACAACGCACACCATTTTTAGAAATAAAATATATTTCTCGCAAATGACTTTAGTTGAGGCTAAAGTCAATACCATATCAGGTGTTGCGAAGCTCATTGAAGGCTCTGGGAAAGCATATGTAATGCTCCCTAATGGGTCAAAAATTATTATAAATGACGCTTTATACTCCAGCAAATCGCGGAGAAATTTATTGAGCTTTAAATATATGCGTCAAAATGGTTATCACATAGAAACCATGAATGAAAACCAAAAGGAATATATTTGTCTTACAACAACTAAATCTGGAACTAAATATATTTGTGAAAAAATGCTAGCATATTCCTCAGGACTATATTTCACATATATTAGTCCATTTGAAATAAATTTGGTTTCTAACACAAAGTTAGATGATCTGAAAACATTCATGTTGTGGCATGACCGTTTAGGTCACCCAGGCTAGGTAATGATGCATAAAATCATTAAGACCTCACTTGGACACCCATTAAAGAATATAAGGGTTCCAATATCAAGGGATTTTCCTTGTAAGGCCTGTTCTCTTGGCAAAATAATCATCAGGCCCTCTATGAACAAAATTGCAACTGAATCACCTGCATTTTTAGAAAGGAATCAAGGAGATATTTGTGGGCCGATAGCCCCACCATGTGGATTGATAGAGTATATCTAGAGAGAAGTGAGAGCTAGAGAGAGAAGTGCAATAATACGCTTCAATATAATGAATTTGTAACCCCTATAACTACTCCCAAGGGGAGTATTTATAGAGAAAATACGGGCTGGGCTCCCAAGCCTTGAGCTTGGGAGACCCATTTACAACTGGACCGCTACTGGGCCGAATACAAAGCCACTAATGGGTTGTACGAATAAGCAAGTGTAAAATCCGGTTCTGTGGAGTCTTCGTGGCCGACGAGGGCGTGGCCGACGAGGGCGTGGCCGACGAGGGCACGGCCGACGAGGGCACCCGGGTTCCTTGGCTTCAGGACCATAATCTGAGTTGGCACCTTTTCGGCCGACGGGGGCGCCTTGGCCGACGAGGGCGCCACTCTGTGTTTTGTGCTTTCTGTTCTTCCGAGTATGTGGGTCCAGGGGCTCAGGCCCATATACTCCATCAGGAGTCCCCCACTCTCTAAGCTGAGATGCAGACGAAGTGAAGGAGAGTAGATTCCCGTGTTTTGTTGCTTTTGGCCGTTACCTGCTCCTCGCTGTGGGCGGGGAGGCCGTTGTTTCCTTGATGTGTTCGTTTGGGGACGATGAGTGTCCTGCTTCAATGGTGGCCGTTTGAAAGGCGCGCTTTCCCTTTCTTGGACGTTGATGGTTGAAGTTTACATTTGGGCCGACGAGGCCACTGAGGTTGAACCTTGTTTCGAGGACGATGGTGTCCTTCCCTTTGGGCGGCCGATGAGGGTGTTTGCGCACTCCTTTTGGCCGTCGCTGATTTGCTTTCGTGTTCTTGGCCGAAGAGCCCCTTATGGTTAACTGTTGGCAGAGGATGATGAATGTCCTTGCCCTGGGTGGCCTGTTGGCCGTTGTTGATGATGTTATGTGCCTCTGGCCGATGAGGCGCCATTGTGATGCGTGGACGATGTGGCCATGCTTTGTGGTCACATCTTGTTTTTTGTATTGTTCCTTTGGTTTTGTTGAGGCCGATGTAGTCCCCCAGTCCCCCACTGCTTCAGGCCGAAGAGTGTGAGGGGTGAAGGAGTTGCTTGAGTCCCTGGCCGAAGCGGCCTCTCCGTAGTCCCTCTGAATCCAACCCTCATGGCGATTTTCTGGCCAAGGTAACCCTGTGGGAGAACCCTTGTGCGCAGATCGCTTGTAGAGAGTTATTATCAAGGGTCATTACGAGGGGTCGATGGTTGTGGGCTCTGTTCGTTTTGTTCTGTGGCCGTTACGGGCGTTCATTACGTTCCTAGCCGTTGACATCCCCTCATTGTTTGGTGTTTGTGATCTTGGCGAGCAAGTAGGACGTTGTGGGCGCTTGCTGGCACTCGTGAAGCCGGTACGTGTATAGGCCGTAGAGTCTATTTTGCCAGTGGGCTGTTGACATGTAGCTTGGCCCGTTGGTGACGTGGTGGCCTCCCATTGGTGGCCGCTGATGTGGCCAGTGGGAGGGTGCCACGTGTAGTGACCGTTGGGTGGGGGGTTCTATAAATACCCCTCCTCCTCCGACGAGAAAACGTATTTGCATTCTGAATTGTCGAAGTGCTGGCCAATTTTCTAGAGAGATAAACTCCCAAGCTTGTTCTTCGTGTTCAAGGTTAGTGTTCATCACAATCTTCTGCACTTTTCATACTTTGCTTCCTAGGCTAGTGATCTAGTGTTAGGCGTTTGAACACCCTTAGATCCTAAGTTAATCTCCTTAGGCCCGTAGTAGTAGTTATGAAGAGCTTGAACGAAGACTACTACCCGTACGACGACCAGCCCTCCACTAGGTCACTCGACTATGAGGTGCTCGAGGAGTTCGAGGAGGAGATACAACACCTAAGTCCCTACAAATCCGAAGAGCCGGTGGACGACGAGGTCGAGGACGAGGAGTCCGCCTCATCTTCAAAAGGTGAGGACGCAGCTGCGTCCCGAGTGGTGGACGGGGCGTCCACTTCAGCTGTTATTCCGTGCCCGAGGCCGGTGTCCGCCGTTAAGGGAGCCGGCAAGCCGAAAAGAGTGAGGAGGCCGAAGAGTGGGTCGGGCATCTCCTACCTGGATCTCACAAACATCTTCTTGATCAAGCCGGAGAGCAGCGCGGCCGACTACCTTGTTGCCCAGATGTACGTGGGGCCGTTCGGGCGGGTTAGGGCACCCAGGCCGACG